GATTGGGATGTTTTGCTTTACAGTTCTCACACACAGACATTGATCTCTGCACGGGACTTGATGTTTGGTCATGTGTCAGAATAAGACACTTCAGATTCAAGGCAAATACATGTCAAATAGAGACTCGGACCTCTAGACGGAGAATCCAAGTGACATTTAACCGTTCATCAACATCCAAGCTTCTAGCTACACTGCTGACCCAAACATTTCAAACATGCACCTTTTTTATTCTAGGAAATCTAGATCTGCTTTCCTCTCTGTCCACTGTTTAGAGAGATCTATTTTAACTGCACTTCAAGTCCTATTCAAAACCACCAAATAGGAAATGAGCTTGAGTGTCGGTTACATTAAGTAAATCCCCAACCCCAATATTTTATACAACAACCCCTTCTACAGCTCTGTGTGCTGACCGACTACTTCTCATCGAGATTAGCCTTTGCACTTGCAACGAGAATCCCTGTGTAGAGCTGAGCCAATGCCATTTGACTGACTGACCTGAATTCTGCCACTGATGAACACGTTGTGTGCCCTGGGAGAAATAACCCTTCCTCACACAAGCCGATTCCAGTTCCATTAGTCACAGTACGGCACTTCTCTGTGCAGTCTGCAGTGGGCGCTGGAAGGGTGTGAGCTGCCGCTTTGCTGCAGATGTTGTAAAAATACTTCTGTGCCCTAAGAGGTTGCAGAAGTCAATAAAGGGAAAGTTTTACATGTACTGGAGCCTGGATGAAAATGCAAGGAGTATTCCATGGGAGTGCAATGCTTCTGTGAATTAATGTAAAATCCATATTTCGAAAAAAAAGGGTTGTCCTCTTTGAGACCACTGGTGACATTGATCGTGTGGGTGCAAAATCTCTGTAGTTAAATTCAGAGGTTTTTTTTCCTAGCGTACAAGAGCCGGTTTCCCAAAAGCATCTCATTATATTGGCCACATTTGTTCAGCTAATGTTTCCACTGGCACGTTTCCATCGCAAGATGAGTGTTGTGCATGCTGAGATACTTTGGAAAGCAGGTCGAGCGCCAGTGGTTCATTTTACAGTACAAATACCGGAGTTTGGTTACACTTATACTTTGTGGCTTTGCTCGCGCAGAGTAGCTAAACATCTGGAGCTGGTCCCTGTCAGATGCCTTACTACAATTAGGGATCAATAAATATATGTCCAGTATCAATAGAAGCAGAAGAGAAACCTAACACCTCAATTTGAATGGAACAGAGACAGAAAAAGAGCCTTTAGCTGCAGAATATAAAACAGAGCTTCACAATAGCAGAAGAGGTATATTATGAAGGCAGCCTTCCTTGGTCCCTGGTGGAGTTTCACGGAGTGCTTTCTCACTGTGATAATGAAATGACCTGCCCTGCACAGCTCCACTCTCTCTCTCAAAAACACATCGGCTACACAACGGTGAAAATGAGAAAATCCTGCCTCCTCTCGAGAGTTTGGTAAAGCATACTCTAAAACATACAATATTCTTTTTCACTGGCGATGATGGGAGCGCGAGTGACTGAGTCACTGCAAGTGCTGTGAATCACCGGTGCTCTATTTATTAGTTTGTGTGTGTGTGTGTTTTTTTTGGTTGCAAGCACCGTTTTGAGCAACTAGTGATCTGACATAACAAGGTAGTACACAGAAATTCAGTGGGTATAAATCCCATAAAGTTGTCATCGTAACCGTGTTTTTGTAACTTGATTTATGTGGTTTGAACGCAGTGGAATCAATACAAGCACTTCAATTTTGCCCCCAATTCAAGGTAGAATCAAATTTAGCAAACTGAAGTCCCACACTGTTTTCAGCTAATGTTGTGGGCCTCGCTAAACATTCAGGCCGTAGACCGATTCAGAAGAATGACTCACCAGTTTGGTACAGCACAGGCTGCATGCAGACCATGTATTCCCTCAGCTTCTAGTTAGCAGGGAATCTATGGCAGCAGTGAGGCAGAGCGCTGTCATTGAGTTACATAATCAACAGAGGAGTGTAGCAAGGATGTGCACGCATGTGTGTGTGTGCCCGTGCATTTTTGTAGCCGCAGTTCTTTTTGAGCTGTCGATCATGTGGTACGCCAAGGCCACTCTACCACCAGGCTGCTGAGGTGGACTTTCAGCAACAATGTAGCTTAAGCCTGCATATGTGTGTGAGCGAGCACGCGTGTAGTGGTTTTAATAGGCATATGCCTGAATGAATAGGCGGCGGCGTTCACAGGACTACGGAGAAATAGGCGCGCGACATGCGAGGCATTAGGTGTGTGTGTGCTGAAAGATGGGCCAATTTACAGAACGTGTCGGCTCACAGGGATGCATTTACATGCATTGTGCGTGTGTGTCCTGATTTGTATCCTGTTGTATATTTCCATGCATGCCTGGATGCGTGGGCCTATTTGGGATGTTGCTTATTTGTGCACGAGCCAAGCGTGCATGTCAAGCCATGTAAGCCTACACACTTGTTACTGTTTGTGGGTTCGTATATGTATGCATGTCTGCATCCCAGTTTCTTTTTGTGTGGCCAGAGAGAGAGCTTCGTGCGTTGTCTGTGTGTAGTATTTCTTCTGCTGCTCAATGATGCCATCTGGCTTTGGCTAACACTAACACATACACCCTGGGGGAGCTATCCATGCTAGTCAGCGTCTGGCTTTAACAACTGTTTTGGGATCGGTTGTCCAGTGGGCTGGTGCTAACTCACACTATTATGAGCAGGATGATAAAACTGACCTTGAAGCAGTTTATGGCCCTGGGATAATGGAAACCACTGATAGCGAGCCTATGAATCTCCACTTAGCTTTCAATGACAAAAGAAAACAATGGTTTAAACCACTCAACATCGTTTTTAGCTGTAACTAAAAATGTATGAAGGGACTCGACTAACAATGACAAAAGAAGTGACCTGTTTATAAGAGATATCTATGAATGAGATCCTCTTAGGATTCTAGGAGTTACAATTTAATAGTAAAACAATCAAGAATGACAGTGATATAAAGTTTTAATCTAAAATAAATGCTATGAAAAGGGAAAAGAGGGTATTTTATGTATATTCTTTTATATCTTATCCCGTATTTACACAGTATTTCAGCTTTACCTTTGAAATGTGTTGAATTACATTGACGTCTTTGTGGGAATTTCTTCTTAGTCAAAGGGAAAGTCAAACAACCCAAATATGAAAACTGGGGAGTATCTTGCTTGTTTTCTCTTTTTTTAAGTAAAAGAGTTAATCCACATATTTTTGGGTCCCTGAAACGCCGGTGCGGAGAGAACTTCGGACCAGGAAAGTGATACGTAACCTCAAAGGGTCAGTGCTGTCGTCCCGAGCGAGTTAAGACCGGTGCTTGCATATAAAACCAGTGGAGGTGGAACACAATTAGGTCAGATTGAGGCTAGACCATTTGTGTGGGTCACGGTAAAAGCACTCATATGTATGCAAGCTTATAGGTCCCTTGGGAGCAGTGGGATGACCTTGTCCCATACTCTGATCTATGTCCTCATCTCCCCTATGTCCTCTTTTCCTCCTTCCTCCCCCCTCTTGCTTTTTCATCACTGCATTTCTCTCCTCTCAAACACCCCCACTTGTTTAGTTGTTTTTGTTCCGGTTTTCCATTAGTTTCTCTTCTTCCTCGCCCATTTTGTTTTCACAGCTCCTTAAATCTAATTCTTTCCTATCCAGCCATTTTTTTATTCTCTTTCTTCCATACCTCTTTCACTTTTTTTTAACTCATATTAACACCTTTTTTTCATTACCCAATTCCTTAATCCCCTCTCGTCCTTTTTCCATATCAACAGCCAGTCTGATAAATAATGCATCACAGCACATTAAAAACGTTAGTAGGGTTCTCTTGGCTGTCAAAGAGAGGGAGGAGATGAGGGAGAGGAAGCAATGGCTAACTCTATTTTAAATAAGTGTTATGGAGAATGATGTGATTAAATATTAGCAGCGGAGTAGCGATTGGAAAGGGTCAGGGTACGAGCGTTAATTGTGTTTGCGTTGTGACATTGCGTTGCCTTTGGTGAATCATCTGAAAGGCCCGAGATTCATTAAGATGAGGACTGTATCAGCAAACTGAAGAAAAGATTTAATAACATTTAGCAAAACACTGATGCTGCATCACACGGAGCCTTGACCTTTCCCTCCTCCATCTCTCATCGGAGGCTTTCTCCCCTCCTTTCCTTTCCTCCCCCCCTCCTTTCCTCCTTCCTTCCTTCCATCCCTCCTGGCAGCGTGGCGATTGGCATTATTAAAAATTGATTGGTAGCGAGCGTTTAGCGGGGTGGTGAGGCGGAGAGCGAAGCTTTAACAGGCAGGAGTGAAATGAAAGGACGGCCTCGGCGGACACACTGGAAAAGTCTAACAGGGGGACAGACAGTGTGCAGTGTGTGTGTGTGTGTGTGTGTGTGTGTGTGTGTGTGTGTGTGTGTGTGTGTGTGTGTGTGTGTGTGTGTGCTTAGGTGGGTTTATATGTGTGTGTAAGGAGAGTATTGCCCAAGAACATTTTGTAGTGCCGCTCTAAACACTAAACATGCAATGTTTATTCTGTGTATGGGGTTGATGTTTTTGTATGTTGGTGTGTGTGTTTGTGTGTATGAAAACATCTAACCCATTATATCATAAATAGTCCACACAGACCTCTTCACAATACTACACAAGCATCCAGAAGCACCCACAGAGAGGATACACAGTCACAGCAGTTCTGCTGACCCAGAGTTACTCCTCCACCATCCTCCCTCCATCCCTCTTTCTATCGTTCCCTTCATCCCTCTGCTTATCCCCCTCTACAACCCCTCTTTCCTTTCATCTCACATCAAATAATATTGCCAACCCATATTCCCAACCAACTATTCCCCCAATGGCAATAAGTGCAACAGCTTTGGAGATTTTCGATGCACTTTACCCCGCTATTTGGCAGAGTGATTCCAAAAGAGGGGGAGCGAGTGGGACCGAAGCATGTGCTATAACACGCCGCTGACTTCTTGTCTTCTTTCTTTTTCTGTCTCTATTCTCTTTCTCTCTCGGTCACAGATGAACAGACCGATCCAGGTGAAGCCAGCAGACAGCGAGAGTCGAGGAGGTACTGTATAACCTTCCCTTCTCCCACCCCCCCGCCCCCTTTCATCACTACCTTCCCTCCCTTTGTTCCAGCCCTACAAACGTGCTGCCTGTGCGTATCAGCCTCAGCATTATCTGTCCCATTAGACGATGCCCTGTACCTCGACGCAGGCTGACAGCGCGGCCTGGCCGGACCCTCCAGTATTCACAACGCATTATGTAAACGCTGATCCTCTTGCCCGCGCTGCCCCCTCGCTCCTTCCTTAAAGTTTCATCATATGCATCGACGCATTTACGTGCAACGCGCCACGCAGAACCGCGCCCGTCGCGTCACGCTTGACCGGACAAAAACAGCGGCACTTCTTTATGTCAAGCACCTTTTAATACCGCAGTCGTCGTCAAAAAAAGGCGTATTTGACTTGTGTCACAAGTTCGTGAGGGCCAAGTGAGGCGCAGATTCAATAAATGGATCTGTGGGAATGAAAGCGGATCATCTTGTTTGGTATTTCATGTGTGGCGTATGGTATCGACAGCTAAGGACGGCATGGAGCACATTTTCTATGTCTAGACATGTAGTGACCTGCTTCTGACATCAATCAATGGACTGTACAAGGGAAGATTGATGCAGCTTGACCATTTTCGTCTGGAGTCTCTCAAACTTTGCAGTTGTTGAGGTAATTGGCAGCAGTTCTTCAGTCACAAGGAAGATGGGAAAGGGGAGGGGGGGGGGGGGGTAGTTCAAGGTAGACGGGCACAGAGAAACATAAGGACTAAGGAAGAAGTACAGGTGTAAAAGTGCGAAAAAAGAAAAGCAGGAAAATTCAAGGAGAAGGAGAGAGATGGTGCGACATCCTCTTCTTCTATTTGGTTTGGTGGTGCTGTGAGTATGATTGATGGAGCGGGAGGCGAGCGAGGCGAGCACAAAGCGCGAGGAAGCAAAGTGAGGGCAATGCAGGCCGTCCACACCGCTGTTTGTTAGTTGAGTCTATCTCTCCCCGTATGTACGTCCTCAGCCCACTTCTATTCTCCTCTTCTATTTCTTTCAAGATTATTTCTGTGTTGTTCTCCATCCTTTGGATGTTTTTGTCAGAGCAGAATTCAAGGTTCTATCACACTGCAGTATGTTATATTTTAATTGCAGCGGAGGATAGGCGCAAAACAGAGGTGAAAATACGCTACAGTATTTCATGTAAAGTAAAGCGAAGTCATTAAAATCACACAAATACAAGAGTCCAGAAGTATCAAAAGTGGAACTGCTTGTTCTGCAGAAAAATAGCTCCACAATGTATTACAGTCAATAACGATCAGTGTAAGTAACATGTTACTGTTTAAGCTGGGAGAGTCTGGGCTACTATTAAAAATGTTAAATGGATTGTGTAGGTGTTTCAAACCTGAGGGTCGGGCCCCCTCCCGTGGATCACTAAATAAATCAGGGGGTTTGTGAGAGGATCAATGCGTTTGCAAAGAGGAAAAGTAAAAAGTCCTACAAAGATTATTTCAATTTTGGAGTTTTCTAAAAGAATCATTATTATTTACATTTCATAATACAATTTATTGTTTATTTTACGCGGATAGCACACAATTAGGAGTAACGGACCCTTGGTTAGACGCTGAGACGGTGGGAAGATCTTTGTGTACTTGTGTGTCCTTCCCCCCTGATGTGCACTCCACCTCTGCAAAAAGGAGCCCCGCCGCCCCTCAGCCCCTGCCCCCCTTCAGTGCAAGGCCAGAGCGCAGATTAGTCTTGTTGACTCTGCAAGGACACCCTGTCATGCACAGACAGTGGGGAACGGACCCTTAGCGTGCACTCGCGCACGTACACAGATAACCACACACATGGTAATTTACAGAGCACATTTGGAGGCAATTGAACTGAGGCTCATTAGTCTATATATCTATATCTATATATAGATATATAGATATATAGATATGTATATATATATCCCTTTCGACAAAGCTCAGGTTCTGTTAAACGTAAAAACAGACGGCCTTGCCCGTCGAGACATCTGCCACTGTTGTGCGCTAACACACCGTCTGCCTCACAATTTACCTTAAATACTCAATAGTGACTCAACTCACGCTATCAAGGTGAATGATGAACTGATGCTGAACATCCATCTGGCTAAATTGTATGAAAAACCTATACATGCAAAATAGTTAGATGATTTATCGTCCTGCATAAAAGTTATTTGAAAAAAATGAAGAAAGAGAAATCAGGGTGAGGGAGGTTGTGTATTTGTTTCTCGTCCACATTTGTTTTACCAAATGTTCTAAAATGCCTCTTTAAACATCAAGACGGAAGACAGCACTAGTTGCTATGTGCAAAAATAGTGGTTGCTATGTGTTCGGAAATGATAAATAGATATGTTAAATTGTTGTTGTGTGACTTGATAACAGTCCCAAGGATTTCCTGATGTTCAGAACTTTATTTTATTTTGAAAGTAATCATCAGTAAAAATATGTGCACAGCTTTCTGTATAACAACTGTGTACCCGCAAATGCAAACCCTAATTTGAGTAATTGTCTTCTGGATTCAACATAATCTTTTATTCATGCATATTGTTGGTTATTTCTGTAAGGTAATAAACAGAGCACCCTGGAAAGAATAGCTGTCAGACTTACATTGACTACCATTAACTTTTAATAATGTTCTGACCTGAGGGCAGGCACACCAATGCGTCTGTGTCTAATACCTCACAGGTAATGCTTGATGTAGTAAAACTGGCTGATGAATCCAATTAGTCAGACCCATTGATGTTCACACTGTCTACAAAAAAGGAGATGTCATCAGGTCAAAGTTACCACGGTGTGTGTAGGTGTTGTCTCTCTGGATGTAGACTGTGGGTATAAGTCTGTGATTGGCTGTCTATCGCCCCCCCATCACCCCCGCTCCCCACAACCCGCATCTTATACATGCACTAAATACTTTGCAAGGGCACCAACGCTGCTTCAGCGTCTTCGCCGAAGACGATTGTCATTGGTTTGAAGAAAATGTTGATAACGTGTGGAGTTACGGACACAGAGCTATGGAGACATGTCCTTCTATGCATCTCTTTACATTATGGACGACCATATAAGCCATTTATCTTACATTTGGAGCTACTCGAAAATGTGATGCGTGTGTGCACGAGCGTTAACATGCGGCAACATGCACACATTCAACCAGAACTTCCCCTGCACATTTTTTATTGAATTGTGGGTGGATAATGTTGGTGAATGGAAAACAAACTCCATCAGGGAAACCATGCTTTACCGTTTAAAACACACATTATCCCACTGACTGTGTTCATCAGGCACCATCGATTGGGCGCGAGCGAGGAGTGCTTAATCAGTGCTACCGAAATGCGTCATTACAGATAACAGATTTCAAATTCCACATGTTGTTATCTAACATAATTATTGGCATCTGTCACTGGTTGTAAACATTTTAATTGTTATTACACTTGCTGATGTATTCCAAATGGAGCTGAGCATCTCGCGATGACAATGAACTCCTTGTTTAGAATAAGCATTCTCATAGAAATTTCCGGTTAAACGAATAGCTTAAAGCCAATGGCTTCATTTATACCCAATTGAGAAAGAAAGATGTGTGAATAAATGGGGGGATAACATATGTTCTTTGGAGAACATACACAATGTGTTACATCACAAAACCCTCTTTCTAGATGCAGGTACAGCTCCTATTTCACTGAACATAGCGTCAAATATCAAAAGGCATCTCTGATCCTCTGATCGTGACCTATTCCTTTTAGAAGACAGAAAGCTCTTTGTGGGCATGCTCAACAAGCAACAGTCAGAAGATGACGTGCGACGCCTTTTTGAGTCCTTCGGCAGCATCGAGGAATGCACCATCCTTCGAGGTCCTGACGGAAACAGCAAAGGTGAGTTCATAGCTGTTTATAACTTTGAGCCAGTTCACACGTTACTGCACAGAAATGATTTGGCCTTTCAAAGTTGGTGACTTTGCAAAGTTCTCCTAAAACACTCCACGCGGGCTATTACACAATCATCAGAGGAGTGGTTACATAAAAATACTGTAGATCCTGTGAATTCCAACAGGAAATGCCATTTGAAGGCTCTCCCCACAGGGAGGAAGGACATAAACCACCAGCTCTTTACAGATGATTCCCATTAACCTCACAAGTCAACTTACACGACCCTGATGAAGAAAACAGTCGTGTCAACCTCCTTATTAACCACCTGACTTCATGCCATGACCGAAAAAAAATGTCCTTTCAGAAATGTTGTCAGCGAGCTGACGGCATGAAGTTCATCAGTGGGCTTAGCAGCCAATCAATGTGGCCCGATGATAACTAAGCCTGATGATTACAGTGGGCTTGATCATTCTGATTCCTCCGTGAAGCTCCATTAACAAGGCCTCATCAGCCAGCTTACTCGGCTAAGTGGGCTTTAGCTCAATAATTACTGGGAACTTGATCATTCAAATTCATCAACGGGGCTTGTCAATAGTAAGCGACACCAGAATGCTGCGGCATTTTAAGCCCCGTCAGAGGATCCCAAAGTTGTTAATGGTGTCAGAGGGGAGTGTTTTCGCCCCGCGCTTTGAGCGTCAATCGACAACAGCCCTCCTGAGCGGAAACAGGGGTTTTGTTGCAGCGTAGGAAACTTCTCCCGGGTGAAGGAATAGGAAACGTTTTACTTGACGTCTGGTTCCTAGCAATGTTTTGCGGTGATTCCAATTACAACTTATCGCTTTATTTCTCCCTGCCGGCCTCCCCCCCCCCCCCCCCTCCCGTCTCTCTCTCTTTAGGCTGTGCGTTTGTAAAATACTCCTCTCATGCTGAAGCTCAGGCAGCCATCAGTGCACTACACGGCAGCCAGACAATGCCTGTGAGTACATCCTAACTGTGTGTGTGAGCATGTGTATTCATGTGGGAAGGGTGAGTCACAGACGGATGAGTCACACAGTTATAGCTTAATTCCTTTCTTAATGTTAACTTAACTATACTTTATCAATTCCAGTAAGGAAATCCGTCCTTTCTATATGAACCATCCTCACAATTTACTAGTAATGCATGCAGACAACAGAGCTCTGACACTATTACCTTGGCAGCAGGAGAGGACGTGTGTGCAAGTGCTGCTAGGTGCTGAGGCCATGTGTATCTGTATTCACTAACATGTAATGCGTGGCGTGTTTGTGTGTGTATGTGTGGGTGGGCGGTTGGGTTGGTGCACAGGGCGCGTCATCCAGTCTGGTGGTGAAGTTCGCCGACACGGATAAGGAGCGCACCATCCGCCGCATGCAGCAGATGGCTGGTCAGATGGGCATCTTCAACCCGATGGCCCTGCAGTTTGGAGCCTACGGAGCCTACGCGCAGGCAAGATGCCCCGCGAAACCTGATCCACAGTTATTTATTCAATGAACCGCAGAGATTAAATTGTGGTTAAAGTGTTCAAGCCCTGCTCACGTGGGAATAGGAAACAGCACGGGCAATATTGTACTTTATAGGATGTGAAAGTAACATTTGGTGAGATTAAAGACCAGTTTTTTTTATCTAGTAATCTCTTTCCTTCCCCTCCTTTCATACTCCCACCCCTTTCGTTTTTCTCTCAAATTAATTAAATTTAAAGGTCTTTTCTCAACCCCCCTTTAAATCCCCTCTCCTCCACTGTGTAGGTGCAGCAGCAGGCGGCATTGATGGCGTCAGTGGGCCAGGGAGGCTACCTCAGTCCGATGGCGGCCTTTGCTGCAGCCCAGATGCAGCACATGGCCACCATCAATGGCATCCCAGGAGCACCGCTCACCCCAACGTCAGGTAACACTGGAAAAAGACCAAATGTAAAGGGCCTGAGGGGGAGAAAGTACTAGAATATCGTCACCATATTAGCTCCTCAAACAAAATAATGCTGTTCTGTAATTTTCTCCTCCAAAAACAATTTCTCATCAACGTCAGATACAAAAATACAATACAAGCACATGAAATATGTGCAAGAACAATATGTCTGAACGCCGTATCCCTCTGTTTCGGTGCTTGCTGTGCTCCTTTTGATCATATCACGTTGACCTAGATGAGTGTGGCATAACATGCAATCATCTGAGACAAATACATGATTGGTACACATAAGATATCATCCGCACCACATTGACTATTCTTATACAATATGTTCTAAGATTTAGAACATGGCTGTTGTTGTCCCAGTGATGCACATAATGGGTCAAGAAATCCACCCTGACATTTAGTGTCTTTACCGGCCCACTGGACCGACCCCTCTGACATTTCCACAAGTTGCAAGGTGTTCAGTCAGAGTAAAAACCTTTCCATTCTGTCCTCGGAAAACAAAAAATCCGGTGGGTCACTTACTGTTTCTCTCTCTCGCCCTCGCCCGTCTGACCGTTGCCTGCAGGTGGCAGTACTCCTCCGGGCATCGGTGCCCCCACAGTGACCAGCATCCCCTCCCCCATTAGCGTAAACGGTTTCACCGGCATGCCACCCCAGGCCAATGGGCAGCCTCCCGCGGAGGCTGTGTTCACCAATGGAATACATCATTACCCCGGTAAGTCCCGTGTATGCAAACACACAAAATACCTCTCAGAGACACGGAAGACAAATAATAAAGGCGCACAAATGACGGGCTACGCTGTTTGTCACGTTAAACCGTAACTCCTTGAAAATGAAGCTTGACTCCCCTGCAGAGACACACTCTGCAGTAAGCGGGAAAGTGTGCATGCCGCTGGCTCACAGGCATGAATGCCCTCGAAGCGTGTTCGGGAGGCCGAGGCCGGACGAGTTTAGCCCACTGAGAGTCAGCATGTCGAGGAGATGAGTGTTTGGCAAAGGTCCTTATGGGGCTGCTGGAGCCCAAGTATGCGCACGTGTGTCATGAGCCGTGGCTAGTACCTCATTGGTTTTTGTCTGTGAAGAGGTGGAAGAAAACCTGTCTTTTGTTTTATTTATTTCTTTACGCTCTTGTCTCTCCAGTGTTGCAGGAGGTGGTTTTTAGGGAGGACTCGGAGAAAAGCGGCTTGGGCGTGGCTCCGCGGAGTTGTTTTGGGGTTCAGGGTGGCTGCTTCCTCTCCTCTCTTTCTGAAGGTAGCACTCCTATCCCGCCTCCCCATCCTCTCTCCCTTCTTCATCCCACTTCCCCTTGGGCTAAAATGAGGCCCAATAGGATTTGGAGCTGAAATAATGTTCAGAAATAATTTCAGAGCTGCTGGTTTTGAGGCATCCTTTGTAAACCTGTGAAAACCTGCATGAGAAATGTTGTGATTTAGTAATGATTTGTAGTTGGAGGATTTTTGTTTTGTCTTTTTTAGTAAAGCAGAAAACTATGTGATGCTCAATTCTTAGTATTCAGGCAAAAAACACTTTGATCCTTGTTTTCACCCGAAAGCATGGCAATAATTCATGCTGTTCACTTAAATATGTTATTTTGTAACTTCGCACTATTATTTTTTGTCCTTTAAATTCTTCATACATTCATTTCACAAATTGTATCAGACATTTAAATATATATATTTATCTTAAATGTCTAATAGTATCGATCCGCAAAGCTTTTGTACAACAGTTTCCTACCGGTTTACAAAGGATGACACTTCTTCAGGCTTTGGGATTATTTCTGAAAGCTATTGAACAAGCTCAGACTTTATTGACCTTTATTTGAGCTCATACCTTCCTCCCTTCGTACGGCTATCTCAACCGTTTTCTCAGTGTTGCTGTTAGTCAACGGTGTGTACAGTGTTTCTTTGGTCTGGTTCTCAGTGTGTGTAATCGGTGTACGTGTGTGTTTTCTCAGTGGTGTATTTAATGTGCATGTACTATGTGTACAGATGGGTAGTTATTAAGTGTGGCACAACATCTGTGGTAGCAACAAGTGTGTTCAGAATGGGATTTTTTTTTTTCACCTTTAATTTTAAGATAAGTAATTGCATCTCCCACATGGGAAGCGATGGCATCAGGTGCATCCACTGTTGTGAGTGTGTATTGTAATTGTATTGTTGTATATGTCAAACTTCAGTAGACTGTCAGACACGTCAATGCTTATTCGTTATAGTGTTTGCTTATAATAGACACTGTACATGAAAGAAAATGTTATGTCCCCCCCGGTGGCGACAGTGAGGCTGTGTGTTGTTCTTTTGTTGTAACTGGGGTCCCTCAAAGTTTTACTTTTACTAAATGCTTCAAGAGGAACTAAAATCCAAGAAAACACCATATAAGAGGGAGAGACCTCGATCCTCACACAGTGAAAGCTCAAGCGAGCGGACGCCTCTCCGTTCGGCTCTCTAACCTTTTCTGCTTTTTTCTTCCTTCTTTTCTGGTTCTCATCTCCATCGCCGCTCCTCCCCCCCCCCCCCGTGCTCCCTCTCACCCTTGTTACATGTTACTCCTGCCTTCCTCCGCGCCCTCTCCTCCGTCTCCATTCTCACTCGGCCTCTTTCTGCCTATTCCACCTCCTCCGTCTTGTGTGTCTCTGCTGGAGCAGCTCAAAGTCCCACCGCAGCCGATCCTCTCCAGCAGGCTTACACAGGAGTCCAGCAGTACGCAGGTCTGTCCGTCACTCTCACCGCAGCACGGATCCCTCTGTGTGTGTGTGTGTGTGTGTGTGTGTGTGTGTGTGTGTGTGTGTGGTTGTTTGTGCTGGCCGAGAGAAAGGAAAGGAGACAGATTCCTTTGTTTGAATTTCAATTTTGATCATGTAACAATAAGTAACATAAGTGTTTCAGTCTCACTACATCAATTTATTCTCTCTGTTGTGTTCGCTGTGTGCATGTGTAAAATGTAGACTTCTTCTGCCAGTTATCTGATCGATTGCCTGCTGTGTCCCTGCATACATCACATTGTTTGTGTGCATCCGAGGGTGTGCGCTCTTGTCATGGCTGTTATCTGATCCACGCTATGTGTGTGTGTATCCGTCTCAGCAGCCTACCCAGCTGCATACGGCCAGATCAGCCAAGCCTTCCCCCACCCTCCACCCATAATCCCACAGCAGCAACGAGAAGGTAACACGGACGCTCTCAGAAACACGGTGCACCATTCACTCCTAAATATTTATACACCATTCACTGCTAAATAGTCAGACACCATTCACTCTTAAATATTCATGCATGCCACAAACATTTACTCATATTTACGCCTCTGTTTATCTTAATTCCTCATGCCGACATGGTTCGTGGAATAAACACCAACGTTTACTATCATGCAGGCAATTCACAGTCCTCCATTTATTTACAGGCATGATTTCACCTCCTGTCAGTCGGTCAAAAGCAAAAATAGTCACATTTTACAGAGATTATCGTACCAGTCAGGATTTATTATAGAACCCTGATTGAAGTTTGTTTTTTTCAGCCTTTTAAAAGCGAGACAAGTTTAAGATGACTTCTTAACTTAAATAATAGTGAACTTTACAGTGTCAGGTTACTGCTGGTCGTCGGGTTTCTAACTCTTACTCACATTACTGAGTGTTTTAAACTGAGCTTTAACCGTCCTCATGGACTCGATGATCATCAGGCCGAGGACACCTCTGCTTGGGACCTTACTGCCCTCTTGTGGAACAGAGACAAAACAATGCACATCACTTAACTGCATTTAACAGCAATTTAAGCTGTTAGTGGTCATTTGGTTGGAGATATCTGTGAATGCTGTACTGTCAAACAACCCCAAATTACTGTTAACATATGACTGCATGCTCAGACAAACTCACCAAACCTATTTTCACTATTAATGTTTGGAGACAATATGAAGCTATTTGGTTACAGAAACAAGTCTAGGTTTATAAAAACATCATTATTTAACTCATCTATTGCAAGCACTTCTTTAAAACGGTGGTAGCGCCATGTGCAAAGTGAGAGTTGCTCACAAATTTCAGATTTATCTGTGAGTCTTAAGGGGCTCTGGCATGCTCATTCATGGGTGACAATTATTTATTTTGATTAGTCTAACTACGAAACTGCCAAATAGGGAGAGGGAATGAACTTGTGTTGCAGCGTGGAAATTTAATGTTTCTAATTTGGCCCTTGCTCTATCAAGAAATCATCATACTAATCACACTTTCCCAAAACTCACTGTAGATATTTTACAAAATAAGTCAAATAAATCTAAAAAAGTTTTTGATTATCAAATAGTCTCTGATATATAATTATTGTTTTAGCTTTAGTGTGGTTTCTTCAAATGTTGCTAAATTTTGACTTTTTTTTTACCCTTTTCTTTCTTTGAATTGATTTTCTTAAAATCACTGCTAAAAACTGAAATACAGACATCTTCACCTAAGTCGTAACAGTTTTAACTTTGGGGGGAACTTTTGTACACATGACCTAGAAGCGATCTTTTCATCACAGAGGTTCCTCCCGGCGCGGTCAATAGTTTAATCCTTCTCCCTCTCGCCTCGCCTCTCTTTCTCTGACATTTGCCCCTTTTTCTCTTTTTCTCCCTCCCTCTCTCTGTCTCTCTCTCTCTGTCTCCATGTGCAGGACCAGAGGGTTGCAACCTGTTCATCTACCACCTCCCTCAGGAGTTTGGGGATGGAGAGCTGATGCAGATGTTCCTGCCTTTCGGTAATGTCATCTCCTCCAAAGTGTTTGTGGATCGGGCGACAAACCAAAGTAAATGCTTTGGTGGGTAAAAATGAACAAACCAAAAGATTATTGGTTATTTATTCTGATTATTCTTTTTTACTAATCACCTTCTTTACCGCAGTCAACACCCCCCCTCCCCTCCCCTAACCTCCCAACACCCCTCCCTTAACAAAATGAAAACAAAACCGTGGAGAATTTCTCTACAGTTGTGCAAAAGCTGGTTTTTAATAAAAAGAGTTTGATTGGATTTTAAACATTCAAGATGTTTTCTTTTGAAGCGCCGACTAATTTATTTTATGAAGAATAACTCATTGATATATGTAACTGTTATAATGATTGATCATGATAGAAGTGAGTTGTTTTATTGCCATGTCCGCACAGCGACATTGCAACTGTGCTCTTTATGAAATATGCATTCAAATACCGACTCTCCGTCTCTCACTTTCTGTAATAGAAAGCTTTGCCTGCTGAGAATATAGCAGTTGATCTCGCATGCAAAGGTAGAGGGACTGCTGCCTCAATTTATGCAACTGACAGCACAATTTAGCTAAATGGATAATTATGTGGCAAATTAAAAATGGATTGTGGAGAATATTTAATGGAGAGTCCGTCAGGTGCATCCTATTTAGCAAAGTAGCTTTTGTTTGTTAATACAACACAAAATTCATGTTGTATTATTCATGTTGCAATTTTGAGATGCAACGTTTAATTTGTGATTTGATGCTTTCCCACTTTCAAGTGGAAATTAAAAAATAGAAAGTCAAAAATAGCACAACCACGTTGATGTTTTGGTTTTACATCCCATTACCAAGTTCATTTTGTGATTTTGGTTGCATGCAGCGGTTTCTGTGGTCAATTTGTTGTTGTCATAAGTACGTTAGCTATGTTAATGCCTTTGAAATGCTGTATATATAATTTTTTTACATTGTTTCACCAATGCTAAAAGTATTGTTTTCCTTGCCTAACTTACAGATAAAGTTGTTTTATTAAAAGTTACACAGTTATTCATTCATGTAAAATACTGCTTCATTGATCCCATCTTCATTAATCCTTTCTTTTGTGACGCCAAACTTCTGTTGCCTGCTCATCTAACCACATCCTCGTCCTTCTCTCCTTCCTTTGGCCTTGCCCCCCAGGATTTGTGAGCTTCGACAACCCAGGAAGTGCCCAAGCTGCCATCCAATCAATGAACGGCTTCCAGATCGGCATGAAAAGACTCAAGGTGCAGCTGAAGAGGCCGAAGGATGCCAACCGCCCCTATTAGCCTCCCGCCCCAGCCAGCCGCCGCCGCCACCATGGCGGCCGGGGCAGCCGCTGCACACAGGGAAGACAGGTCAGACACCGGCCTCCACCTGTCCGGAATCATTCAGTGTCACTTTATTTTGATAGGCGATTAGCTGAACCAATGCATGCAAAACCGCTGCATGTTATATTGACAAATGGCAAGACCTGCCGTGGCACCACCCAATGTGCTCTCAGTAACCTTTTATAAATGTCATAAATAACTGGCTGATTGCTTGTAAAGAAAAGTGATGAAGACTTACCCCCTTGTTGATAGTTTAACTAAGCATTTATAAATGTTAACTATGTCGTTAGGACTCATAAATGTATATGAGTTATTGTTACCAACACACATTGGAACCAATATGTGCGTATGTGTAACACCCACACAGTAGAGGACAACACTTAAGTTTTAAAAGGAGACAACTTAAAAGCAGAAGGCCTTTTTTGTAATCTAAAGTTTACATCCTTTTATTCCCATCATTATACCCTAACATGCAATCATTCATTCCTTCATTTTCATGACTGGTTGTAACAAACAGAGCAGGAGCCTTTGCTTACACGAAGCCTCCTCTATTTGCAATACGGCTTTACAGTAAGTGACCCTCTATGTTACCCTGTAGGTAAAAGATAATTGGTAATAGGTTCTGTGTGTTGCACAGGGAAGGAATTGCTTCCAAGGGAGAGGCATTTATTACCCCTCAGGCGGGTAATTGTGCTGTTCCTCTTTGTCTCCTCCCGTCATCTGTGTGATGGAGAGTTTAGGCTGCGTCGTTCATTCAACACTGATGATTTCATTCAAGGGCAACTTATCACCCACTCAAAAACTAACTGAACCATACCAGACGGTGTCCCGAGGCAAATCACTGCGAGAACAATAGCGCAATCTCACATGAATGTGTCACAAAAAATGTGACAGCGTCCCTTTTGTTATAGAAAAACATTTTTAACAGAACGGTAGTGAAAACATCTCTTTCTGATTCAATTTCCCTTTTACCTGAGACTGGGTTTGAGATGTCAACTGATACAAACAGGCATAAATGACGTCCATGCACTTGCATCCCCGGTTGTATTATATCTAAATGATAATTATGCACTATTATGAGGGATCAGACTGGTGAGTATTTAGACAGCACGCTGGAGGAATTCTTAACTTCTGATGACAAATGAGGGTTACGGTGTGTCTTGTTCAAAATCCCTTCATCATTTCAGAAACGGGATTAACCGGTTGGCTTTGAATAAAAAACAAAGTTAATTGTTCTTCACATTGGAGATTACAACGGCATCACTGCCAAGGAGATCAACTAATTCACTGCAGGGGGAACACTGATTTAGTTCAATATTGTTTTGAGAAAATACCTTTGTTTTATCGATACCAGAACCAGTGAAGACGCTTTAGAGAGGAGGGTGTCTTGTTATTAGATACAGTATATTCCACTGCTCCTACTGCAAGTATATGCAAAAATGAACGGAACACTAGACAAGCAATGAGAGCAAATACTGGTTGGATACTTGCAGGTTGCAACTACGAAAATCAAGTGCAATTATAGCAAAAAAGAACAAGAAAGCGACCGTACAGCCGTGGTAGCGGCTCAGAGAGGCTGCAGTATTTGATAGATACGCCAAAACATTTGGTCCAAAAACAATTCACCACATAAGACAAAATGTTGTGGCAAGCGAGAAAAACTGTTGGGATCACCAAAGTAATTTATACACAGTGTGTAGAAGACGTTGGTGTTGAGATATTTCTGAACAAAAGTAGGGGTCTGACCAACAAACGGGGGGAAAAACGTCACTGGCATAACTATGAGAGTTCCTTAAATGACATGCTTTACAACGGTTTAATGTGCATGAAACACTAAGTGCCTTTTTGTTGAGCCTTCTTACATATAACTTGACTGAAAGGCCTTATATTTGTTCTTTCAGGTTTTGTTGAGCTGAATCATATGTTGACTTCTTGCTACCGGCCACTGAGTGCTCAACATCTGGACCACTGAGGCTGCTTCAGAAACAGAGAGAGAGGGAGAGATGACCGAGTCGAGGAAGCTTCCTTTTGGATGTACTAAAACTTTGGAACTCAGAGAGAATTTGTACCAGCCTGGTTAGCCCCAGGACCTTTTTTCTTCTGCACACATATACACACACACCTCTTTCCCCACAAAACCCCGCTTGAATGACAGCTACCTTTTCTGGACCACAAATACTTTTACTTGAACAATGACGGGAAAAAAGTAAAAGAAACTCTATCAGACCTACTTACAATGACCAAGCCCACTGAACTCTTAAAGGGAATACGGATGTCAAAAGTCCAACGAGAACGAAACTTTTTAAATAACTGAAGATTGCCGTAGGAGATCTTTCTGTAGGATGGTTTGAGTTTGGGGCAATTGACTTTTGAAGACCAATTTATAAGACTTGAAACAAGAAGAGACAAGAAATTCTCAGAGAGTGAACAAAAGTAGGGAATGTGATATTTTCAGGACACAAATTGGCTTCGATTTGGGATTGCCATCTTTAGCTCGGAGTGCCTGTCCGTTTCCAGGGGATACCGTTGCCAAGGAGAGCCAAAGCAACGGTCTCCAGGGAGTCTTACCTGTCATTCCTTAGTTGTTTTAGGGACCAAAAGACCAAACATTTTTATTGCTGAGGACTTGTAGCTCTAATATACTCGGACCACTGCATCTCTTTCAGTCACTGGTTGAAGAGTCGCACTTAAAAACAGTGTACATTTCAAATATATACAACACATGTATATATACATATATATTGCTGATATGCTTTTTGAATACAGGCTAAACTATTTCAGATGACCAAATCAGGTCTCTCACTTCGCTAGTTTACAATTACTCAAAATGTTTATTTTTTTTTCTCTTCTCATTTTGTCTTGGGAGGGATGGCGAGTGCATGGGAGGGGCTGCTCCGTATCACAGCCTTATCTTTTTTAACTTGACATCCTAACCTCATAGATAGAATAACATCAGAAACCTTTGAAATATATGAACTTGTTTATATTTGCAGTACATATATGTATAACAAGCATTCAAGCAAATGTGTTCATATATACAGTATATATGGATAAATAGATATTAATCACAAGCAAATATATGTATTTATATGCACATATTTTATATATGTGTGTCTGTATATAGAACGGCTACTGACTATGTTGAGCTGTAATTTTTTGTAGATTTTAGCTGGAGTTTGAAGCATTGCTCTGCTTGGGAAGAATTGCAAATCTGGCAGCTCCCAAAACTGCAAGCATTCCTGTCTCTCATTAACTATATGCTGACACACAATATATTGCTAAAAGATACATGTGTGAGAATACACATATGGTGTAAATACTAACTGAAAATGCAAAAAGCCACATCTCAGTAGCAGGCTTTAAGAGAATCAGGCTTGGTGATTTTTAGAGGAAAAGGACAATTATCTTCGACTCTATTCCAAACATATCTTTTGAGCTTTCACACAAACACACAAACACACACACACATGCACACACAAACTTCTCTTTGAAACTTGAACCAAAATGAATACGTCTCACAACCCTTGCTCTCTTTTGCATTCAGTAAAATGCATGTAGCGTATGGGCTGTCACCATGTCAAGGTGTGCCTTGTCACCTGCGGAATCTGCCATCAAGCACTGTGCTTTCAGAAAACAAAGACAAAAAAAACGCACACACAACTGCAAGCAGCCAACGCGCTATTATGATGTCAAAACTACAGTCAGATCCATATCATTAGTCAGCCGCGTAGAGAGCTTTAGCGTATAACAAACCATCAGAGCACTGCTCAATCAATGTCTTTGAATGAATAGCATTAGGAGCTAAAGTAGACCCATGCAATTACACTGATTAAAATGGGCATTAGGTGGCCTGTTAGCAGGTACTGACTATCAAAAGTGTGTGCAGGGCACCTGTGAGCATATTCCACTGGTTGGAGTCAGAACTGGCTTAAAGTTCAGAGTTTCAACTGACATGATTTGGCTTGATGTGAGAAGTAATAGAGCTTAAATATGAGGTTTTAATGGTTATGCAGGGGATGTAATATTGATGAATATGGTATAATCAGAGAGATGGCTTCCCCTTAAAGCGAATAAAGGGTGTACTTTCTCATCCAGCAGTAAATCTGTGGATCTCAGCTGGTAATACTTGACATGAAGCATATCCTCTGGAAAATGTTATATTGCCTTATGTTATGTTACTATTAAAAACCTAATAAAACTGTAAAATGAAGCAATAAGAGTGGAAAGCCATTTACCATTACAACTGCCCTCTGACTGCGGCTGGTTTCCTATTGCTTCACCATACAGTTTCTCAGTCTGCAAAAAATGGTATTAACATCCACTATATATATCTGCAAAAGGTCAACAGACTTGGATTTATTGGATCCTGCATTCAACACATATTCAGCTTGTGGAGATTACTCAATGAATATTTATATATATGAATATTTATAAGGCTATATGACACTTTGAAAGACAATGCTTCCTGTTGGGTGCTGTTAATAGTTTTTCCTATAAACTGCTCATTATGCCATTTCCCTCGTGTCTGTGTCTAACCTTTTTAGCGGATTGAATAATTTAACATTTACCTTCCAAACCCCGGTAAGGCTAAAAGACACGGCTGCACATCCCAGAACGTCGCTGTTTTTTATGTGTTCACATAACAATGCCCCCGACTGCGGTGCACAGTGCAGACCCGATGACCATCATGATCATTTTAGCTCTGACAGCATCCGCGGTGGGTTTGTACAAAATGTCTTGTACATCCACCTGAGCTGCCTTTGGAATGGCCATAACATCTGAAAGCTAAATGTCACGAGTCTGGTGTGCCTGATCGCCACACTGTGCCCTTTGACTGCCCCTCGCTGCTCTGAGAAAATTGAAAAAATAAGGGTTGAAGCGGTTTGTGCTTTTCCAATGGTTTGTTTGAGCAATCACTCATGTCGTTCATCCAGCCCGTGTGTTTCCATGAGGGAGGGGAAGCAGCAGAACGACCACACAAAGGAGAATGCCAGCCACCTCCTCGTCATTTCCTTCAACTTTAAGCTGCAAGTTTACATGAGAAAAGTAAAACAAAAGTATCGTGGTTCAAAAACAACAAGAAACAGAGCAGAAGTTTGAATATAAATATATATATATAAATATATACATAAACCGATGAATATACTGTAAATTGTTTCCTTTTTTGCTCTGTTTTCCTCTGTACATAGGTTTGCATATTTTATAGGACTTTTACTTCTATCTACAAGGACTGGATAAAGTACTTTAAATACTTAAAAAAAATATATGAATGAAAACATGATAATGAAAAATAAAATAGTCGCTAGGATACGGTAAAAACTGTAGGACCTGACCAAGGCATTTATCCAGAATACAGTCAGGGAGAGCATTGACCTCAGCTAGAGCTTAGACACACATATTTTATAAAAATTTAAAAAAAACAAATACTTCATGGGTTCTTTTCATTTATCTAATTTGTTTATATATTTATTTATAAGTCATGTCCGAGATAATATGCATGCTTTCATGGCATTATTTTTCTATGAGTTGGTACGTGACCAAATAGTTTTTATATGACATGCATGGGCCACTGTTGTGGTCCACAGATGATCATTGATGATCGCCTTCACCACTTAAAAATGCTCCTATTAACCAAGCAATGTCAAAGACAGATTTTTCATGAATTATTTATGTCTTTATTTATTTATTTATTTATTTATGTCTTTATTTATTTGTGCGGTTTGATTCAAGATTTGAGCTCTCTTACTGCAACTGATCGGTATCTTTGTTGGTGCTACGTGGTACCAGTACATCACATACTATTACATTAGGTATTGGCAAACTCCAAAACTACTTCAAAGACTGATTTTCCAATTTCTTGCTGCTGATAAACTATTCAAAAAAATGCAGCACATGACTAAAGCCTTATGTATATTTGTAATTATGAATTCATAGTTTTGTTCCAAAACTGTAGCTTTACTAAAAGATTGTACAAAAAAAAAGACGCCAATTGGAGGATTTGTGTCCGTTTAAGTGTCATTTGATTTCATCCTGAAACCTTTAAACGCAGTAAAGAATCAGGCCAATTACTGCTTAAACCCTCATAAACCAACTGTTCAATCAGATCCTCAACACCACAGAAGATATGCCTTGAGGTCACGATAAATTGCTGCCAATGTCTGACTACTAATCACTGATTGACTGCCTGCGTAAAACATCAGTGTGTCTAAAACGTTCCTCCCCTTTGCATCCCATCTTGCTTTGTATTGTCTGACAGAGCTCTGATCTTGTTCAACTGATGTGTTCTACCGAGAGCAAAAGTCAATGAAAACTGCACTATCTCATCAAAAACAATTGAGTTGGTAACATTCTTTTCAGTGGTTTTATTTTCTCCTGCTCTAAAGTAATGTTGCTACAATCACATTTTCCTTCATATGGTTGTCAAAGTATTCTGGAAATCTTTTTCCCAATTTCAGCACATACGGGAGGGTGGGGAAATGAATGTTGCATATTTAGCTTTGCCGGGTTCCTGATGAGCTAAGCTTCTGATTGGGCAGTGTGCTTTAGGCTCCCGCCCCTGTCTCTCCAGACTGCACCATTCTCTGGTCCCTTGAACTCTTTTTTTTGTAATTTTAAATGAATGATGCGTCTCAGCTTAGCCCAATAATAAAGCACAGTCTAGAATAAAGTATCTTGTGTCGTGTCATAATTACTGAGAACTTATGATCACATAAAACCACCCTGCCAAGATGTCCCTATTATTCTCAACGAAAAAAGGATGGGATGATTTGCTCCATTTGTCAGTTCCTGTGAAACACAGAAGGGAGATCTTGCGCTGGATACAAAACATTCCATTATATACGCCGCTGGGTATCCAGGTTTTCATCTTTTCAAGATAATTGATTTTAGTCATTTAAACGAGCATCAATGGCGGCAATGTCCTCTGGGGTAATCGGCGCAGCTCAATGGTAAACGGTTTTACTGCAGTGACAGCACAAGCCCAATTACAAAGATGAAGCAAAACCAATTCAGAATAAATATTTGTTTATTTGTATTAAAACCACAGTATAACAAGAGTGCAATTGACAACATCATAATTATTCTGTATTAGAACATAAACTGAAGATTAAATGTATTAAAAAAAAATCAAGGGCAGATAGGTGAACATGAAGCGACTGGATCCTTTTTCTTCTGGGTCAGCAAATGAAGAAAATATCCTCCAGTATTTGGCTTTCCTCCAGGTCCTGCTGGGTGCTCGGAGGGTAAGACCCAGCGGGGTAAGCAGGGTCTTTCCCGCCGGTTTGGGGGCAATGAGCCTTCGTTGTGACGATTTGGGTCTTCGAGGTCGCTCCGATGCAGAGACAGGACTAAAGACGTCCAGCAGCTCAACCAGAGAAAAGTCCAACCTACAAAAAAAAAAAAAAAAGGAGAAAAGGTTGAATTTGCTGAGTTCTTTGTCGTTTTATTCCTGATCCTGATCCCTGATTCAACCGTGTTATTTTCTACATCACCTCTGCTTATTTGAAAGGTTGAATCAGCACAGGCCGACATTGAGAATACAGAACCTGGTCGACAGACAATGTTGTAAATGAGTATCCTTGTGCGCATGCATTATAACAGAGAAATGCACACAAAGGCCGCCAGTTACAGCACGTGTGCTCCATGCTAAACAAAGAGGGGGCGAGCCAAGGGACCGACACCAGACAAGCATATATGGCCAAAGTCTACTTTGAGCCCGGCGCTTGTACAAAAATATTTGTCCCTCACCCATCACTTGTTAACACAGACCATATGAAAGCAGATCTGTCCTCAACACGTTAACAAAAGCTTTCTTGCTGAAGTACTGGACCCTAACAAGCAACGTTAACAAGTCAAAACCACTGGGGCGTGCCTGCAGAAAACCACACCGTCTTGCAGGTGCTGGGGGAAAAAATAAAAAAGTAGAGCCCCCGAGGCTTTCTCCCGTGGAATAGAAATGAGGGAATGTGCAGTGAAATAAATAAACCAAAACGGGTAAGATTACGCTAATAGAGATTCAATCCCTCAGTCTGGCTGCCTTGATAAATTATTCAGTGTATACACAGGCGAACAACGCCATGGCAGATACAAAACATGAATTCCTTAAAGCACGCTGCAACGCCGCGCGAACATAATTCTCTGCTCGTTTAAAGCCGCATCGATTTGCATCGCTCGGCTCCGTACGCGGCTCTCCCAGGTAAGGCCGATCTTTGACGCGTACTTGTTGATATGCATGTGGGTGGCCGGCAGACAGACACACTGGTGGAACTTCCAATCAGGGCGCATTCGTGTTCCTCCACACGTAACTATAGACCTTTCCACGTCGGGCTTTCACACTAACTTGAGGCAGCACACGTTGGTATTTGCAAAGCATTAAAAAGGAAAGTTTTGTGTGCAACTGTTACGAGATTGAGATTGAGAATGAAGGGATGAGGCGGCGGAGGAATGATAACTGATAAAAAAAGGAGACTGAAGCTCGAGTAAGTCAATCTGTCTTCCTCATTTGGTCTCCTGCCTGTCAACAGAGAAAGCAGGAGGGCACGAGCGGGGGTCAGTGTGTGTGTGTGTGTGTGTGTGTGTGTGTGTGTGAGACTGGCAACGACTGCAGCTTTGTGGATAGAGAGAAAGGGAACGTGGGGGAGGGACATTGGCTGGGTTCCTTCTCTGGAAATGTGAGAATTTGCATTTTTATTTGTTGATTTATTTAACGGACAGGGCTCTCAAACAGCCATCCATCAACAAACGACATGTCGGTAATGAATAATGCATCACTTACCGGCGGTCACAATCTATAACAGGGGGAGAGCGGGGGGGGGGTAGCGGGTACAGTTTGGGCAGAATTGGGGTGGGGGGGGGGGGGCACAGAGATTGCACAAGGGCGAGAGGAAAGGCCGACAGGTTTGTGGAGGGGCGTAACGTGCAACAAAAAAAACTGTATTGCTTGGCTCTAGTTTGTGTGAGGTGAAGTTGTGAATTACTGCTGGATATTAATATCCCCCAAAGGAGTCCTGCAAAATCTATTTTTACTGCGACACGCATTTATGGAAAAAAAAGGCATGGACAAGAGTAGCAGGAACACAAGTCGCTGTCATTTAAATGTAAATAAAAGAAACTAGTAAAGCTTTGGCCCCAGATGTGGGGTCATTTTGATGCACTGACATTTAAGTGCCACTTACCTTTGTAACCCTGTGCGTAACCCCCCCCCCCCCCCCCCCCTCCTTTCTCTGAAACAAACAGTAGTTTAGCATTCTGCATTCGAATACTTTCTTCCCTTTGAAAACACACACACACACACACACACACACAGCAGGTACCTTTTCTTAATGTAATAAAAAAACCTTTGGGCTTCATTCTCCCAGCGCACCAATATCGTTGGTCTGCCTTCCCGCTCTGCTAGGCCAGATAAAAGCATCCACAAAACTCCTCTGCCCGCGCTGCCCGCTTCCCGCCGCCGCCGTCACCTCCTCCTCCTCCTCCTCCCTCGTAACTTTCACTGCTTCTTTGGCGCTCCTCTTTCATTAAAGAAAACCCGTCTCACCCCGGCGCCCCTTTTCATTTGCAGTCCAAACAGTAAGATAAAAAAAAAAAAAAAAGAAGCCTATAATGGCCACTGCGTATAGGCCGCATGTCAATTTCCCAACCAATCAATAGCAGGCGGGCAATGGCAGGAAGAATGGAGATGAGATGGGCGGGGAGCGCTGGAACTGTCTCATTACTAACTAGCGCAGGATTCATGAAAGGATTAAGAAGGTCACTAAATGTTAACCCCGGCTTCGCTTTGCAATTTGCACATCGAGATTGAATTGGTTAAGATTAGATGGTCACAAGGGGCATGTTGTTGTCAAGTAGAACAGGGGGTTCAGGTGGCACGCCGAAAGATTACAGTAGGATAGACCTTCCTTTACCAATTTAATCTTGGGCTTACTCACGGCAGTAGTGTCTTTGTTTTGTTTATTACATTCTGAAAGCAGTTGGATTTCTTTACTTTTCAATTGCATAACGAAAGCAGTGAGCAAAATAACTCGTAGCTCCTTTTGCTAAACAGTCGATTTTGTTTTTCCTTTTCAAACTATAAATCATACAGATTTCTTTTAGACAGCTGAGAGAAAAATGAATCTACATTTAGTCCAAATTTGTAAATTACCAGAGGATTACACCTTTGTTAAGAGATGCACATGAAATAAATCGTGTTGCTAGAAGCCACAGAAGGCATCCAAGAGGCAGACTTCCTCATTACTGGTAGTAAAAGAAAACACTGTTGTGAAGAGTCCAAACATTTTAATAGGCTTTGGAGGTGCGCGGATGGTAATACGATCTGATGCACTCGGTCTCCTCCTCGAATTAATGGGCATCTGCTGGAGCTCGCAGTTCAACCTGGATTATTCAATGATTTTTTCAAGTTTCTGATGACTTTGGTTCCCGCATCTCCTATTAAGCTTTTACAAAGGAAATCTGACATTATTCAAGAAGAAATCGCCTCACCTTTTGCAATAACAATTTCTAAGAATAACAAATTGCATCTCAGCAATTTATATTTCAGCGCACAGATGAACACTGGTTAGATGGCCAATACATTATTTACCATTCTGTTAAAAGGGTGTAAGGAAAAGGGGAATGAATGGGCTTTTTTATAATGAAAGTCTTATTCTTGCGCTCAGTGATTCCTCCCTGTCCTGAGAGATTCTCTCCCTTCTCACGTCTTTCTCCCCATTTCCATCTATCCAAACCCGATTAAACTTCTCCAGCTCCCCGTTCGTCACTTCATCCGATGCCGTCACCACTCACTCACCCTCAAACACGCTTTTAACATCTCTACCTCAATCTCTCTTTCTCTGTCTCGTTACTGTGGCAGAGAGAGAAGGGAGGGGGGGGGTGGCGGTGTGTGCATCCAGAAGTCTGTTCAATTACACCTGCTGCAGTGTCCCTGCTAGGCCGACTAATGGAACGCAGCATGTCTCCTGACAGGCCGGCCACAGCGGAGGCTAGCCGGGTAAAAAGCGTCATTTAGCCTCTCGCAGCCCGAAAAGTTAGGTGGACTAAGAAAATACATCCTTCAGCCTCCAACGATGCAGCAACTGCGAGCCCAGGAAAAGCCTCAGTCATGCAAATGTTGTACTGGTGCTATATTTATACATTTCATAATTGTCAACGTGTCTCAAGTCACAACTAGAGGAAAAACATTCATTGCCCTCAAGAATAGAATGAATATGGAACGTGGCCGGCAAATAATCTTTCCAATCTCCCTCACACAACAAGAGTTGTCTGCCCTCAGGAACGTTCACTTCCCTGTAGTGGGGACACCTTGTCCTGGCAAAACAAGAAGTCTATTTTCAGAATGTCAAACCAGTACAGAAGGGAGGGCTGCCTGGATCGCTCAAAAATAATATCTTGGCTGACACTGAATCTAACAACACCGGCTGTTCTTCACATAACTAATTCCACTAGCTTAGCTTATACCTCCCTGTTGCATTAGTCCTGCTGCTTATCCATTATGGTGAATAATGCTTCACTTATCTATAAAGTCTTGCAATGCACAGTGAATCTTCATTAAATGCTTCGTTGAAGTCCAGTGAAGATGTGTTACCTGGCCTGGGGGGTCGTTCGGATCACAGACACTGAGGTGGGCTTATTCCGGCTGGCAGAGGACTTAAGAGGAGACGTGGCCGTGTCCTTTCTGGACTGCTCGAAGGCCTCTGCTGAGAGATAACAGTGTTATATTAGACGCAACAACAGAAAGGCCGGGAGCAAAGCAGACAAGACAATATTTTAAATTACTATTATTATTTAACGTCCCTGTCTAGGCTTTGCCTGCATATGTACTAAAAATAAATAGTTTAAACTAAATCAAACTATTATGTGTCGAGCCAGGATTTTCTTGCGTTTAGGCCAGTAAGCATTTAATTCAAGTGAAAATGGAAGCTTACCATTGCCGGTCTCCAGACGAGCAGCGGTGGTTTGTGGCTGTTTTCCATGCAAACTCTGTCCTGCAGGATGTAGCTCTGCATCTTCAGACGCACTGTAGACCAAAGAGACAATATATCAAGCGCGTGTGTGTGTGTGTGTGTGTGTGTGTGTGTGCGTGCATGCGTGTATGTGTTTGTGTGCCTGTTTGCTTGGCTTACTTGGGGGGTAAATCTGGGTGGGACTCATTCCCCAGCTGCGGGTCTCCATTTCTAGTGTTTGAGCTGCTGAGATCGGACTGAGCGGCTTGTTGAAACCTAACATAAACACGGGATATCACATCAGCCCGTGCCTCCGTATATTATCGAGCAATGTTACCAGATCCGGGACATTTCAGATGAGATTTTGTCCACTACCTGCTGTAATCGAGACGCGACTGATGTAGCTCCTGATTCTGCCTGTTGAGCCTCTCCTCCTGCTCAGCCAGCCGTGCCTGCAGCTTCTCCCTCTCCGTCTCCAGCTGCATTTTCTGCAGCAGCAGCTGGTGCCTTTTGTCCTCCCAGTCCTCGTGACCCATCAGAGGCCTGGTGAGGGCTTCGTGGGCCTCTGAGCCATTGGCACTCCCCCTGTGGGGCCTGTGTGTCAATGCACCCTTTCTCAATGTTTGTGTTCTCATTAAATGCAGTTTGAAATGACAAGAGATTTATGTAATTATGCGGTTTGGTCGGATAAAAGATGACCACCGAACAGAGCACTACTGTACCTTGTGCACTCATGCTGCGTAAAAGTGTCATGGTGGCCATTAGCTAGACCGCAGCCACCGCCTGGACCACTACCAAGGCAGTGATTACATCTGCGGTAGGACTCCCTGCTCTCCCCTTTCTGAATCCTGCGCTGTTTGGTCGGCCCATCGGCTGGACTGAACCCACCATCACAGGAAAGAGGGGCATGGTTGTAGGGGGTTTGTATTGCTCCCCTTCCTCCACCACCTCTCATGTGCGCTTGTTGTGCTCGAGGGGCAGCTAGGCTGAGGTACGAGCCGTCACACAGTGAGCCATTAGCTCTGCTGCTAGATGCCCTGCTGGGGGCCTCCTCACTGCTGAGCACCTGGACAGACAACATAGAGGACAATGAATGCATTAGAGCCAATTAAGGAAGCCTCTGAAAAAAAAAGTACAGGGCATTTCAGCCAAAAACTTGCTCCATAAAACCGTAATGTAGAGCTGGGCTACAGACCAAAAAAACATACCAGTAATGAATAAGGACTCACCTACCAACCTAATTAACACATGTTAACGTGCAGTAAAGGTTTTCCCTATGTGCCTGCAAGCGCTGTTCCTCAAAAGCTCGCGTATCACTTTCTGCGGCTGAACGAAACCTGAAGCATCTTATTTTGACTCAGAATCTACTTTCTTCCATTTTACCCTCGTAACTTCAGAGATTGCGTGCAGGGCTGTGAGATCTCCCAGCACCCAGCGGTGCCTAAACAATGTTACTGCTCTAGTCCACAGCTTTATGAACATGTCGTTTGGACCGGGGCAGTTCCATGGGGCCACGAATGAAAATCATCCTTCAAAACTGGAGAGTGGCCACAATATTAAGAGAACCGTTTCTAACAGAGTATAACTGGCAGGTAAGCCAAGGTCAGGAACATTATGAGATAAACATAAGGAGGAAAGCCCATCTTGTACACGACTGGGAAACAGGCTGTGACTAATTTGCTGAGGGTCAGAGAGCAGGCAAACACACATTATTCAGAGCCACTGCGGGACAATGAGGTTGGCCAAGTCATCTATTCTTACAGTGGCTGAAGCCAGAGAGGCGTCTTCGCTTCTCAAGAGTCACCTTGAGAGACTTTTCTGGTATTGAAACAGTGGCCGTCGTGGACTTCCACGGTGCTCCGTCATCTATCACTACTGCGCTCGGCCCACGGGGGCCGCGCCTCACCGCGTGTTTTTGTGCTGGAGTCCCCCGGACGGACGGCACGCAGGGGCGTTCTGGGAATATGGCGCGCGCATGAGCATTAGCCAATCGCCTTACCTTGCTATGGGCTGGAGCCTGGCTGAGCTGTGCAATGGACTCGTTAAGTTTGGCCTGTTGCTGAGAAAGGTATTGTTGGTAAAGTCCAAGCAGCTCCTGGCACTCTCTGTACTGCTGCTGCAGACCTGGAGGATTGAGGGTTAAGTAACTAACAAACGATTAAACACAAGGTCAACTTTGGCCCAGAGCTCGAAAACACTGCCCCGGATTTAAGCTGTTAAAAAGAATATTAGAATAATTAGGAATCACTTCTTAATGCGAACTCCCTGCGTGGCTTTACGGAGAAGGCAACATTGTGCAGAAATGCCATTTCAGTAAGGATAAAGTTCTCTAATGTTGCTTAAATAAAATTTATACATAGAAGATAGATTTAGATTGGAATTAAACCCTTGTTTCTATGATCAATTACAGGTTGGACCAGAAAAGTACAGAGAACAGCAAAGTTGAAAACAGAGGGGGAGAAGAGGCCAGTAAAATCAAAGTCGTTGTTGTGGCACAGAGCTTCCACCATCTGGGTTGGGCCAAGCTGTGTTGAGCCGAGCTGGGCAGTGCCGTGCCAGGCTATCTGCCAGACAGAGAGCTGGCAGACGTGAGGAAACTAATCTGGAGCGGAACCACCGCTGCGCCTCGGGAGCCCACTAATGACAGTGGCAGCACCACAGCACACACAAAGATAATGAGCAGGAGAATGGAGAGACTACACACAAACGCATGTGTGCACACACACGCAGAAGTTCCCCACCTGCACTGTAAAAAGCCAACGTACAAACCCTACACCAAAGGAAGTAGTACACATACACGGGGGGGGCCGAGCTGGCCTTAAAGCGTGTTCCTCCAGCCCATATCGTTATAGGTTGGTGGCCCTGCACCCCCGGCTGATGAGATCCTCAGCATTTGTTTGAGAGGAAACTCAAGAGAAAATCAAAGTTCAAAGTATACGCTTATTGAAGGAATAGTTGGTGGAACACTCCATGAGAAAACGCTTGTTAGAAGACTTCAATCAGGCTGTGGAAATGAAACCCAGGCGAAGAGAAGAGAGGGGCGCGGCGGCTTTGAATTGACTACTCGGCACACCAGACAAATACAATGCAGCAGCCTCCATAAATATTAAGGACATGTGAGGAAACGCTTTGATTGAAGCCTCCATCTAACTAAGGCTCCTCTAACCGCCGCACTGATAACGTCCATAGAAGTAGGTCTATATGGAAAGCTCGAGGACATCACAAGGACATCACATCAAGTGAACCTGGGCTGCTATACGTCTATTTATGCAGCATGAATAAGGGTCTTGAACGGGAGATACTGAATTTGCTTATACAGCTCCACCTCACCTCAGTCCAAGATAGAGTTGTGTATCCAGATGAAAAATGCATGCCGCTGATATTTCACCAGATTTGCATAAAAACGCAATTTTCCACATGAAGAAGACAATTATCATGCCTACAACCAATGTTTGCCAACACACACACACACACACACACACACACACACACACGCACGCACACAGTAATACGAATCGATGTGGGGGGGGGGGGCAACAAAACCAAATCCAAAGCGGGTGCTGCATCATGATCGCGCCCTAATGCCATGAACGGAGGTGAGGTGCGTGCTGACAGGCTGACGCAGTCACTGGACAACAAGAGCTTGGTAATCGGAACCGAGTGGAGCAACTCTGATAAGATTCCACCTCTCGGCCCGTCGCCACACTAAACATGCTTCCTCCACAGCCTTGGACGTCAGCCATTGAGGGCCGAGCACTCTGCAAGCCCCCAGTTTACATCGGAGCTGCGAAGTGCCAACAATGACTTACTCCCCCCCCCGCTCCAAAAATACCCAGAATCAAGGGCTTGGGCTGAAGAGGCTTCAGACGGGGCCTGTCAAAATGATTCACTTCCCTGTCAGGCCGAGGCTCAAATGAAATAATGAAATCCACTTCAAGGTGGAACAAATTTGCACAGGAGGGGAGGGGGGGGGAGATTTTAAAGGCTGCTTTAGCACACTGTGCCAAACAGATTGAGCTGGAGCAGGAATATGAGAGTGGGCGGGGACTGATACGTAAGAATGTATGAGCAATGATGAGGAATTGTTAGAAGACAATTTTACAAAACTACTGAATATGCAGAAGAAACATGAGTGCAAGTCACCAATAACCTCAGAAAATAATGACTAAAAAGTGTCATCAGAATTATTCTTGACCATCTCCAGTGCCGTGAACACAACTAAAATGTAGTACCATTAAAATTGGTACAAAAAGTTACATCTTGCTGAATATTACGCCTGAAATCTTTTAAAAATCTCTTTTGTCTTTGAAATACATCACCTGCACATATATAACACGAAAGCAGGCGAACCGCAAAGCCCGAAATCCACATAATACATTGAATTTAAGCACGTAAACTGATTCGGTAAACAATAATACTAATCTTACACTAAGGTAACCAACTCGGTCCAGAAAGTCCTTCGTTTACAGAACTGACATGTCAGCGGGTTTGTTACACACACATACATATACACATATAAATAAATATAATTTAAAAAATATATAATAAATATATATTTGGACAACCCCATTGTGGACACTGCCTTTCCCATTTATTTGAGCAGTCAAAACATTTTACCATATTTCTTGGCTGTGTCTACTGTAGTCAGAAAGTTAAGCTTCTCTGAACACACAGACTAGAATTGAGTTTACTCTGGTTTTAAAAACACCTTTAACAAAATAGACACCTTACAAAGCATGTGACTTCTATCACATCACTCCTTCCTAGAATAAAAACGGTAAGATACAAAACACACACACACAAGTTTGGAACAATTGCTCCACAGCTGACATCAAAAGAGTATTACCGGTGTCATCTACCTAAAATCAAAGCACTGGGGAAAAGAAAGAGTGCATATCATAAAACTAGATTTCCACATTTTAAATGTCAGTTTAAATGGATTCATCTCTTGCAAACCTCTTATCGCAACAAGCAGCATTTTTCAATGACATATTCTAACTGGGCTGTTATTCCCCTCTCCATGGCCTCGGGAGTCCGTCCAATTGTTTTAAATTGCATCAGTTTTGGTGCCTGCTGTGACTTCGAACACGGCCATGACTTCTGCCCATGCCAACATGCCTTGAAGTACAAAAGACATCCTCACTATCTGAAACACTAATTCAGTCTTGTGTACCAGGCGGTTCCAAATGTCAGCTGAACACCCTTAAAATCAAGAGTCCTTTTCTCCTCTCATCCAAGGTGGCTTGGGGCTAAGGTATAGCCCTACGTTCTATCCCTGACAACCCTGAATCTTGTGTTAGATAAGATAAGCTAAGGCGTAATGGAATTAGACTTGACAAGACTTTCATTCAGTGTGTTTGCCTTTGGTGTCTCCTTAACCTTTCAGAGAAGTGCCGGAACCTCCTGCCAGAAAGAGGCCTGCGTGACTCCAGCATGCACTTTAGAAGACTACGTTATCCCCCCGGAGGTGCTTGGATCCGAACACTTTTTTTCCTCTCAAATACCTTTTTAATGGAGTTTTGAAGTTTGGTGTAAATGCCAAGTCTCCGAGCCAAAGTGCCATTAATTGAGTTGTGCTTTGCTAATTTTCCCCGCTACCGCTGCCAATTGTCCAATTTACCAGCGGGGTCAATTACACTCCATATTTTGCAGTGTTTTCAACGAAATTGACTCCTTGCCATGCTCTGGTTTGACCTGAGTGGAATTGTTATGAAGAAAAGTAGTTGTGGGGGGGTGGGGGACGCAACGTCTCACTACTAACTCAGGCATTAACCTCCTGCTAGCAAAGCAAGAATCAACTGGTGACCCATCTGATCCCATTTTGTAAGGAGACACTGAGTGATACCCCACAGTTAACATTCAGGGGAGGTTACAAAAACACATGGTGGTGAAAGCAGTAAATATCAAAATGCATCTTTGGATAATACGATGATTTAGATGGTACAGGCCACGGCTCCAACCTTGAAATTGATTCTGTACACAACAGCGGATAAGAAGAATACATCTGCAGCGGGCGTCAAATCGAACAAATGAATCTGCTCAGTTTCGCTGCCCTTTGGAATCAAATTGAACGCTCTCGGTCAAAGACTGCGCATGGCCTTCCCTAAAACAACACTGCCCCCTGCAGACAGCTTCGGAAAATAGCCTCCAATTTAACCTTCAGGAACATCTACGGGAGATACAACCGTGTGGCATTGAAAACTTGCAATACTACAGTAGAAGATTTTACTGATTGGTTGGGATAGTCAGTGAAATCACTTGGGGTGGAATTTGGGGTAGCACCTTTTGTACCTCTTTAAACATTGTGGTGTTAAAAAAATGTGGTGATAGCCAATTTATTATTAGCATATTTTAACCATCTTCAGTCTCTAAGGAGTTCTCAAAAACACAAAGGGCATTACTTTAATGTACTCATATCACCCAGTAGTGCTATAGGCATCCGCATATTAAAGTGTGCTACAGTTTCATTCAAAAACAATAATGGCAATAGCCAATTGCCCAGTAATTTTCAAAGGATACTCTCCCTCTCCTGCACAATGATCACGTTCTGTTGCTCCAGCTTCTGGAGCTTGCACTCAAAATGTTCCTGCTCATCTTTCAGACGCTGCACAGATTCTTCTTTCTCCTCGCTTACTCTGCAGAAAAAGATATAACAGTGTAATACCATTGGCAGATTCTACAATGCACAATCAAAAAAGCATAGACATTTCATCACACGTTTATATTCTTTTTAATACATATATGAATGGTATCATTAGACCATGGCATATTCTGCTACCTACCTGGCTAGTTCTTCAATAAGGTTTGCAATCCGGCGTTTATCTTCAGGACAGAGGTCTTTCAAACAGACCTGGCTCTTGCTGGCCTCAGAGCTCACCTGTGCAAAGGATGGTTTGCATGTATGAAAATGTCAAAACCCTTTCTAGTCTTCTAGGTTTTTAGATTATCCATACACTCTCTCTTCCTTATCCAAACTTTCTAAACTTTTCAAGTACATGGAGGAAAGAGAAACAATATCCTACATGAGTAAATGCTTTACCTGTGTTGGGGGGAGAAAAGTACCCACAGCTGGAGAAAGAGCATGCCCCAAAACTGGAGTCATACTGTGGTGGGCTGACACTTTTTTCTTGGCATGAATCCCGGATTGCTCCCTTTGTAAGTGACCCGGTTTCTTGCCACATTTCTTCAGTGCCGTCTGAGGACTGCAGTCGTAGCCACGCCTGCCTCGCATCGTGGTACCTCTCTTGCTACCGGTGCGGCCCGATCCCGAATTGAAAGAGGTCCGAGTCATCGCCTCTCCTTCCAATCCTGTGACAGTTTGGGGGAAGAGAGAAGAGAATGGGGGGGAGAACATGTACATGAGTTACATACAGTTCTCTCTCTCACTGATGGGCCAATGTTTGGCGTGAGACTCACCAGGAACCAACACCAAAGGCTCTTCATCCTCTGATACTTTGTGAACAAAAAGAAACCAGGAACTTTAGTCTACACTCAGAACAGAAGTTTGTTCCATGTGCAAGTGTTTAATCAAATATTTCAGTAATCCCATACATGTAACATCAGTTTAGTTAACTCAGCTGCTTTCTCACAATCACCAAGTCACAGACAAACAAGAGCTTCCTCGCTACTATTGACGTCACTTAACTCAAAGAGGTTCCAGTGTTGAGCTCAGGAAATCTAACGGAGTTGATTGGTAATATTGACAATAGGCGCTGCACTATTATCGCCGGATTTTGGTATTAAATAAGCTAGATATAACCTAAATTAAATTCCCGAGTTCACGTTAAGTACACGTATGATTAACGGTTAGCTAGCTATTTGTTAACTTTGGCGTTGACAGAAATACAAACTTTACAGCATGAACAGAGACGTAACCTCTCTAAGAATCGTTCAAAAACCTTTTAAACTTTAGTCAAGTGCGAACGGACAAAGCAGCTGGAAAAGTCTATTAAAAGTAAGCCTACCACCATTCATCCAAAATATCCCCGAATTTCCACTTCTCGAATTCGCTGCCGCCATGTTGAAACAACCGCCACCACTCCCAGGCAGCCCAGCGTTGCTATGGAAGAATAGTCCCGCCCGTATTTTGTAACGGAGCCGCCAATTGGATCATTTGTAGGATGGCGTATTTCAATTGGCTCAAACATGCGCCGTAAAAAGGTTGTTTCCTGTATACGCTGAGAGCTGCATTCTTTCGACATAACGTTAGATGAAAGATATAAATGTGCAACATTTCATCTTACATTTGTGAAGGCGATTATCCAAATGGAAGAGACGAAAGAAAACTTAACATTCAAAGGTGTTGTTGAGAGACTCACGCTTGGCATTACTCGAATACTCGGTGTGTATCACTTTTTTTTACTGCGGAACGTTAGCTAACATAACATTTGGGTTAACGTTAGCTAGCATACCGATTCATGTCGTTCAGCCCATTAATTGCTAACTTAAATGTTATTAATTATCCCTGTTATTTTCCCAGAGAACATGCCCGGTGTGGTCGATGTGCGTTTTGTAGAGAGGGAACCTGCAGATAAGAGGAGCCTGCTGTCATGGGAACAGGTGAAATATGAACGCCTTGGACATTGCAATTTGGTCTGCTTATACACATTCATCAAATGAACCTGCTTAATGTCTTCGTCAGAAAAACACTTGTATCTTACCGGAGGACCTGCGAGATTTCTATCTGACAACTGATGGATCGACACTCACCTGGAGCGTGAAACTAGACAGTAGGTCCCCGGATTAGTCTGTAATCATATCACGTCATATAGATCTTAATTTATCTAGAGAAGCGATCCAGGTTAAGATACTTATGCAATTCCAATTTCAGATCCAATAGGTACCATCGTAACTGTGTGTGTTTGTTTGTGTGTTTGTTTCAGATGAGTGTGTTCCCTTAGGAAGCATGGCGATTAACAGTGTGGCTAGACTGTGCCCACTCCTCCAACCAGTATCCTTATTTTCTTTACCCAATGCACCCTCGCTGGCTGACCTGGACTGGGAGGAGGACAACACAGAAAGCGGTAAACCTCACTACTCGCTTCCCTCATGTGGGCTCAACATTACAGCACAAGTTTGATTCCTTCCATTTGTCTGCTCAATTGTGCAGAAAGCAGCCTAATGAATGAGATGTGGATTGGAAAGTCAATATTTATTCAAGACTCATCAGTACTATGTGTCCGGGACAGGGAGCGCTCCCGCTGCACCCCATTTTGATTCCCGGAGCCGCATCTTCGAGATGGATTCCTGTGGTGGAAATGGCAAAGTGTGTCTAGTCTACAAAAACTGCACACCAGGTGTTTTATTTGAATTTGCAAATTTCAACTTTTCAACTTTTTCAATTTTTCTGCAAGACAGTGTTACTCAAAATACATGTATGCCATCAACATAATCTACGTCAAAATAGGTGTTTTGTCATTGAGTTGTTGTGCTTTGATCGTTTCAGGTGTGGTAGCACAGCAGAGTGAAATTTGGTTCCTTGACCGCTCGCTGTGTTGGCATTTAATGACATCAACCTTCACCTCCTACTACCGACTGATGATCACTCACTTGGGTCTGCCTGAGTGGCAGTATGCCTTCACCCCATATGGCCCGAGCCCCCAGGCCAAGGTGCTTAATCCCTCTTTCTAAGACCACGTGTGAGGTTTAAATGACTTTTAATTACGTTGTCTTTCCCTTTATTTCTGTATTTCATAATAGACCAAAATGTGTCTTGTGAAACAGTATTCAAATATGCTCACGGCTTTGTGGTGATATTAACAAGTCAATTCATTGCAAGTGTATGAAATAGATTTTATTCATTTGTTCCCTTCTCAGTACACAATGTTGGCTGATTTAACACTTAAACAAGATGACACAACACAAAGTTGTAAGACACATACGCAAAGCATAATTGTTTCACCACAACATTTGAAAGTGGAAATTTGTGAACTATTTTTTTTTTAGTCTTTACCTACCAGACTGCTTTCATGGAAGTTTGTGAAATAGGCACGAAACACAATCTACATATTGGTTTTGCTGTTTTCCAATGCAGATTACAGTGGTGGGACATCAAGCATACAAAATTGTGTTTTATTTGTGTAGTGACCTTACTGTTAGTTACTCCCTCAAGGGCATTGCAAGTGTAATTTGGTCTTTTACTTTGATTCCAGATGACTACAGAGCATATTTTCAATGATACCTCCTGTTCCCTCCTGCAGCAATGGGCATCGTTGTACCAGCCGCTGACTTTCACCAATGAGCTCAACTTTGCTGATCCTGCGGGAGATTCCCATCTCAACAAGCTGGATCCTACAAAGGCCTTCAAAGGCAAAGCCAAAGCACCTGTGCCAAAGAAGAAGCAGTCGACACAGTGCAGCTTAGGGAGCACTGCGAAGAGCCAAGGCAGCACAGTAAGACACAGTGGGGGAAGGCGGTGATTCCGTCCAAGGAAAACATTCTAATCAACTTCACTGTCCACACAACCAGCATTGCACGGAGGAACAGCCAGCAATTCCACCATTGACTGGAGTTTGGAATGCGGCATGTATAGAAAGATAAACAATCAGCGCTTTCTAACAAAAGGCTTCATGTATGCTAATCGCTGGTGATGCAGAGATGCAATTGCGTCACCAAACGTTTCACTTGACACTCTGCACTAGTGGTACACATACGTAAAAGCAGCCAACTCCTAAAACATGATTGTGTGCTGACGACGCATGTCTAATAATCTTCATGCGTAGTAACCGACCACAGAACCAATTTAGCAACAGTACCGCTGCTGTATGTTCTCCAATTCTGTAACACTAGGCTTAGTTTCTGTTTGAATGTTTAATGTATCATACTCCAATAATCTATACATAATATATACAATTTCAATATACAGTTTGTATATATACAATATATAGAAATAATTTATTAATTTCAAACGTGTGACAATGGGTAAACAACCTCCTCATCATTCATATGATGACATCTTGAGGTGAAAGTAATACTGGGTCGGTTTCCGCTGTGAAAGTGCTGGTGGGCTGAAGACTTATGTGGATATTTTGACACTCACAATGAAGAGCAGATCACTTCAATGTTCCAGTCACAATACTAGCCTTCAATGGATTAGTGGATACTGCTGTAGGTATTCAACAAATGCCTCAGAGCTTCTCTATCAAACTTGATATTTAGAGTTTATGTAAATGTGAACCATGAAAGACTAAAACTAAATCAAACCCAACTCCGGTTTAAAAAAAAAAAAAAAAAAAGTTACTCACTGGCCGATGATTCACTGCAAAGCCTCACTGACACTGTGTTCCTCTGTTAAGTTAATAAATGTAAACCGCGAATGTATGTGCACAATGCTTTTTGATTATTATTTTTGTATGTACTCTGCTGACTATCAATGAAAACTTAACATCAATGAACTGATATGAGGAGGTTGTTTTCCAGCATTTCATACTCGCATGCTAGTTTTATCTATTTAGGGCTCTTGATGCCAAAAGTATCCTGACGAGCAGACTTGATAGATATCTAGGATTAACTTTCTGGTTCAAGTACCTTGGGACTCCAACAACGTTAATCCAAACACTGTTACATGTTTGGCTTTAGGCTCCTGTGCACTGGATTGTTTTAAAGATGAATGCTCGTATTCTCTTCGGTTGGGCTGCTGCCCTTTTAAGTCATGAGAAGCTAACTACCACTGTCCCTTTTTATATTTTCCCAAAGATACATTTTTATTAAGTGCAATGTAGGGGGGGCAGTTCCTTAACATCCGATCTAGGTTCAAAGATGATGCAAGTGCCCCCTTGTTGATTATTATGTAAGATGTCTTCCCAAGTTATTTAAGCTGCTATTACCTCACTAGAATAAAAATTAAATATACGCCACAAAATCTGTGTTTCATCTCAAATGCATAAAAAATGGCTCATCATTTTCAACCTTTTGATCTAATGTAGTTACTATAACTACCATAGACATAATCAGAGCAATTAGCCTTCGCATCACTGTTTAAAATATGTTATATAGTATGTGTTGCTCGAGAAATTAGAAACCTTATTGAAGTGTTCTGAGCAGTTTGTTTTCCAGTCCCTCGTAGTGATGGAATATTTTGAATGCATAAAGATGTGCACGTAGCTTTACTGGATGTACGTCGCTGGCCGGCCTCAGACGGCCATATTGGAACCGATGTTACTCCAGCGCTAATCTCTCCTCGAACTCCTCCACCAGCCGCTCTTTCTGTTCAGGTTGATGGTGCATTTCCACCAACACCTTGTAGAGCCCTGCACCCAATATTCCTCCAATGGGGGGGGCAACTAGAGGCACCCACCACCACCCATTTCCAGACCTGCGCAGATAAAGAAAAATAACTGTGAAACTGGGTCTTTTAATCATTAACAAAGATGATTTGACCCTTTGTCACTGTGACATAATATGTCCTGCCCAAAATGCCAGTGTATCTTTCCTGTGTACCTGAACACATCACCCCCCCAGCCCGCTATGGCAGTGAAGACCCTGGGTGCGATGTCTCTGGTCGGGTTGATGGCGTAGCCACTGTTGCTGCCCAGAGAAATGCCAATGAGCAGCACCAGGAGGCCCACTGCGACGGGCTCGCTTCCCGCTGCCGCCGGTTTGTTCTTCTGATCTGACAAAGCCATCAAGCAAAGCAGCAGCATGGCTGTGCCGATCACCTGGCGAGCACACAAATCAAACATCAACGTCAATAGCTGGGTGCAAACAACACAGGAAATGGCCATGGCAGAATGTGTCAGATGGTGGTGTTGATGTGGAGCTGTAATCCTTTAATCCGGTTTCATGTCTACCTGATCAATGAATCCGGCATGCAAGGAGAGGTACGGTGCAGGATAAGTGGCAAAGATACCTGCTGTGGCCTTTGGTCCTGTTACAGTCAGGTTACCTCCACAATAGTCGTGTATGGCTTCTGCATGTGGAAAAGACAGGTGCTCTTAGATGGATGACTACCAGCAGAAGTAGAACAGAAATCATATATGGGCAAAGAGAAGAAATAGAGGTATTAAACGTTCAACAGGTGTGCAGCGTGTCCTCACCATAGTAGACGCCATAGATTGTCGCTGCGGCCAGGAATGACCCAAATAGTTGTGCAAAAACATACAGAGGCAGCATCTTCCACCCAAGGCGGCCAAACGTGCACATGGTGAATGACACTGCCGCATTCATGTGAGCCCCTGATTGAGCATGAGAAATATGTGTCAGAGGTCAGCGATTTGTGATGCCTTTTATGGATTCTTGATAGTTGAGTTCACACGGGTCGGGCCCTCGTACCTGAGACCTTCCCTCCAACATGAACCCCCATAGCAACACCCAGTCCAAAACCCAGATTGATGCTGATGTACTGGCCAAACTCTCCCTGTCCTGTCACTACCTGGGCCACGGACCCCAGGCCGAACACCTGGACGAAGAGGGAAGTAATTGTACACAGGCAAAGTCACAGACGATATTAGATAGGAGAAGAAAGCTGCAGGGGAAAACTTCTAGGCAGGCTTATGTGAAGCAGCAAAAACAAGGAAGCGTTGTGCCAATGAAGTCAGCGCATCAGCAAGGCAGCCGAGGTGTAAATGGATGAATGTTTTTGTTTCAAAATGCTGGTACAGCAAGTGCAGGCTGAGCAGAACCACAAGTCTTTGATTGAACTTTTCACTCCGTGTAAGTTTAGAGGCTGTAGTCCCGGTCATTCAGAAAACAGGAAATGTGTACTTCCTCTTTCAAAAGTAATGTGCATTTAGGATTTTGATTTAGGGTTCGAGTCAAGGCGGCAGGGTTCCAAAGATAAGGTTTATTGTAACAGGCAACACAAAAACATGTTTGTTGCAAAACTTCCAATAATGTTCTACGTTAGTACGACAGAGAGTCTGTGCTCTTTCACATAGAGGCACACGGTGTTCTGGGTCATCTGATAGCCAAGATGTTTTTGTGCCGATGTTTATATTCTTGCGGTACCAAAGATGATTGTCAACATCCGAGGTCGACTACCAGCACCTGAGCCCCCCCACCCTTCCTGTTTTAGCACCCTGTTTGTCTTCCAACTATATATTCCTGCTCCGAAGATGAAAACCTTTGAGTGGGCTTGTCGCAGGACTTGTATGTGTGTCAACTCTGTCTCCTGTTTGCAAACATTAAATGTCCTGTTTTGATGATTTTCCACCGAGTGTCGAGTGAGACTTTTTCTAACAATGTGACTTTGGCCTCCCACCCCATGTGGCCCACTGCCTGACCCTTTCTCCGGCAACACTATGGATTTCCTGGTTCACCCACTTGAATCAACCAATCCCTGCCCACCACCACCCCTGTCATGTGACTGAAATGTGCTTTTTTATCACGTATGTTATCGGTCTCAAGAACATGTCATTGACACTTTACGGCAGGTGGTTGCTACAGATACGCATGCCTCAATGTTAAAAACAGGTCGAATGTTATTTGTCACCAGAATGATGGGGAAATGACACATTATTATACATAGCAAGCGCTTCTTACCATCATGACATATGTGCAAAGGGATTCAGCCAGTCCCACTCGAACAAGTTCATTCTTTAGCCCACTCACTCTTTTTCGTTGAGAGACCCCTAGTTCGACTGACTGCACCAAATCCTTCATGTCTTCTTCACTCCCTTTTCTTCAGGAGTTTATTTGCCCTTTCAACGAAAAGTAAAGATCAGGTTCAGACCCCCTCTAAGAGCATATGTGGTGCCTCCTCCCCTATCACAGCGTAGTCCACCAACAAACTTGCTGGCTACTTGCCTTTTCTCCTCCCCCCTCTAACGTCTCTTCTTGTCTCCTCTACTCTCGTGGTGTGTGTCTCCCTCTCTCTGCCAAACGTACCCATTGGGATTTGTCCACTCTTTATAGCCTAAAGCCCCCCGGTCCTGGAAGCTTTCCACTGTCAAACCCACCCCCCCAATAGCTTTGCTTTATCCGAGGATACCAATATGGAAGTATTTTAAACAATTACCCAAATCGGAAGGAATGTGTTAGGGAACATTAGAATGCATATTGCGCAGGAAAAAGCTTTTACAAGTAGATGCTGCAACCAAGTTTCACTCGCTCACAGAGAAGACTGTCAACTGAGTTGTGTTAATGTGAAGAGTTCATTTAAATAGTTGCCTTTTATCTGTTTTTTTTCAAGGACAACATGCCATTATTGTGGGGATAGTTTCCACTTTAAATAATGAGTCGACAGGGAATCCACAGAAACAAGTATTGATTAACAGTCGAGCTTATCTGGACAGCACAGCGAGTCCACATATGCTCATTCCATAAGAACCTTTGCTCTTTTTTTAAACATGTTAATGCCGATTGAGTCTAGCGATGCCTCCTTGTGTCATTAGTATATGATGCATGCAAGTCTGTAGCGTCACTGAAACTTAAGAAGTTTCTAGCTACAATACAAAAAGGGGACACTTTCTGGCTGGCGATGCCTGTTACATAACTTAGTGTTAGTGTTCGAGGTCACGTGTGTGGCTTTCAAGGTATGGGGTTTGTGTTCGTGGCAATAACTTCAAATTCTTGGAGGTTTGACCTATGAACTTTGCACTCGTGTATGGATACAGGTGTGGTCTCAGCTTTTGGAAAATCCAGCCTGTAAAACTAAAGTGGGTTCCTGTGTAACTAGTAGCATTTATATCTGCTGTCAAATTGGTTGCAGTGTGTGGAGATAATTCGGCAAACGTACAGCACAAATGAATCAATGAACGTGAGGGTGTTTTCGGTTGAAAAAGCTAGATAAAGTGCCTTTTGGACTTTTCTTTTTTTGCATTACACTCTCTGACCTTTGAGATTCATTGACCCCATTTCTAGTAGTAAAGCTATCTTAACAAACCAATCCTTCGATGAGTGCAGTCAGAGAACAGTAGCGTCACTACTAATATGTTATACGGCCAAAAGGGGATTTTTTAAAGATGTTTCTATTTATTTATCTTGACCGTTGCACAATCTGACAGAGCTTACACTCAACATTTGAGTGAAATATCAATAACTTAAATAACAATTACTTTTTTGTGACTTGGGTCCATTAAAGGCCGGGCAGTGGTAGAATTACACAGGTCAGCGTTTTACCATTGTGGTGTTTATTTGAATTAATACTCAACTTTTATAGGTTGCTGCAGCAGGTGTTAAACGGTCGAGCGAATTGACTAGTTGCTAAATGCCCAAACTGGTCCGTTTCACTTTACTTAGGAAAATGACTATAGCAATATTAAAAAGGCATTAAGGTCACATGCCACTTCTATCTCTTATGTGCTGTTTCACAAAGTTCCCATGGTTCACAAAGTTGAATCAGGCCTGTTAGTCACAGTGTGTTTCCTGTCACAGGAAACAAACTCTGCAAACTCTACTGTCAGTGTCGTCCATGTTAATGAATAACCGTGAAGAATTACTGGAACAATAAAATAAGCATTTTTCTTTCGAAAGGCGGTGACTTACTTACCACTGAACGCCACCCCCCTCTGCTGTTCATGGGATAGTTGCATCATTTTAAAATTTTCTACAGCTGTTTTGGATTTTGGCATTAGGTCCACCTACATGTGGGGAAAAGAAGGTGGTGCATACTATCCAGTTGTTCTCGGATTCCTGTCTCATTCTGAGTTTGCAGAAGCTCCACCGAGGCTGCCATGGTTTTGCCGGCTGTCCTTTGCCACCCGGTCTGGGCCCTGCTCAGCGCGGTGCTGGCGCTCGTTGTGCGCATGCAGCGCAGAGGTCCCTGGGATCCGCGAGACTGCTCCGTGCAACTGAAAGGGAAAACCGCTATAGTGACAGGAGCCAATACGGGTCAGTAGCCTCTTACATTCTGCTGTTGATGATCTCAGGGCTATGCGCTTCAGAGAGAACACATTTTTGCAGAAGGAATAAGGATTTTTTGTTACATTCATCCAGAAAAACCTACAACCTACCTCTTTTTATTCCTTTTCCTCTCCCAGTCAAAAACTCATGTGTCCACATTACTCTTTCTAGCTGTCCATTGTTTCTCACAGTCTGAATCCTAATGCTGTTCAGCATTAAGAAAAGAATAGTTCACCTGTAATGTAATCTTTGCTAATCGACACAGCAAACCATGTCATTATTGAATGGCATTGTTCCAAGAATTGAAAAACTGGCTCAAGTCATTTTGTCTGCAGTAAAGCTGAGAGTGAAGAAAACTTCCAGCTGCATTTCTCCAGTGCAGTTACACGTTGGGCAAATCAGAACATTACTTCCCATTAGACATTTGCCTAATATAAATCAACAATCTGTAACATTGCTGATACATTTACAGATTAACTAACTGAACTGATATAAATGGACAAGATTGTGTAACTCTTCAAGGAGGCATTCTTATCGGGTGGCAAATAATTCTTAATAAAAGCCGTCCTAAACAGACGGCTGTGCTGTACAACTGAAATACACTCTCAGGTTCAGTACTGCTACACTCTTACAACGCGCTGCACAGAGTTCAGTATGAAAAGAGCGAAGCTACCAGACAGAGGCGGTGAATCTTAATGTGCAAAGTTCTGGTATTTCATATTTACTGAGCCAGATGAGCCCAAATGACAAAAGAGCCTCACGCCACAAAAGCTCAATCCTACTCTTTATTATAAAACCTCAAACAAGCCAAAAATCACCCACTCTTCTGTCTTTCGGAGCTGAAACTCAACTTCCAAACTTTTTGTACCACAATGCCAAATGCTTCAACACGCTACTTCAATATAAAACCTACACATTCAAAAGATGTGTTGATTGCTGTCTGCCTTGTGGAACCGCTTTGTTTTTTAAAGTATTGCAAACAAATATGTTGCTCTCCTCCACTTTGTTAGGGATTGGAAAGTTCATTGCCATGGACTTTGCACGCCGGGGGGCTCGTGTTATTCTGGCCTGTCGAAGCGAAGCTCGGGGGACAGCAGCACTTAATGAAATCAGGGAGAAGACCGGGAACTCTGACACCCACCTGCGTCTGGTGGACCTCTCTTCTCTGGAGTCCGTCAGGGAATTTGCCGGCGGGATTATTGCAGAGGAGAAAGCTCTCCACATCCTCGTCAACAATGCAGGAGTGTCAGGTGATGCATGTTCATGCAGTAGAAATGAGTGTGGAACCGTACTGTAATAATACTGAATACGCCGAATCCATTGCTTTAGTTCTTCTACCCACTATTGAAGACGTTTCCCCCCCTCGACAATTTAATAATGATATGCTATTTGAACAAACTCAAATAAACGCTAAAAATATGCTGTTTATTGGACAAGTCATTTAACACCAGCACAGCTCCAAAACGCCTCCCATGCGTCATCAGAAATGAAGGTTTTAAATTTTCTGGCTCCACGAAGCTCCCAGTAGAACAACAGAAGATGTTCTACAACTGATCTTCATGAAGAGTACTATGTTAGTTATAAGTAATATTTACAGAATGCATTATGCTACTGTCGGGTATTTCTACCTATAGAAGTACACATGTGTGCTACAAATCCAATCCAATTTTTTACAATTGTACTCTCAGGTTTACCGAGGCAGATAACCAAAGATGGTTTGGAATGTTCTTTTGCCACCAACCACCTGGGACCATTTCTCCTCACCAACCTGCTGCTGGGTAAGCACCAGTGATGTTGTGGGTCTAAACATGATGACTACCTGTTATCATGACGTAGTTAATATTGAGTTTCTCTCTCCCCTCATCATCTCCTATTCCTTGATTCCTTTGTCTCCGATTCCCTCCAGACCTGATGAAGCGTTCAGCACCGGCGCGTATTGTCACCTTGGCCTCTGTCAACCATAAGAAGGGTCAAGTGGACTTTTCTCATTTTCGGGGCGAGAACCTCACGTACCACATGGATAGTGTCTACAACCACACAAAGCTGCACAATATCATCTGTACGAACGAGCTGGCGCGCAGGCTCGAAGGGACAGGTGAGCTAAAGTCAAGATTATTATGATTGTGACCCATTGGTATCCATTCATACACAGTGAATCAAATGGTATAAATTGGTTTCATTATTTTTTGAGTTGGGATTATTAGTTATTGACTGATTAATGAAATGGTGTTTGAATACTATACCCTTTTGAGCATTTATATTGCATAGTAAAATATCTTCAGCCAAAGCAGATATTACAAATGGGGAATTTTTGAATAAACTGTTGAAAATTTACAAATACTGTAAGGAAATTGGCACGCAGACATGTAAATAAAAGCGTTACCAGTAGGGCCAATTAAACTGCACATTTTTTTATGATTTGCACCCAGAAATGAAGACCAGTCAATGAGTCAATCCTGTAACCAAGGGACCAAATTAACCCTTCAGAATTTTGATTTAATAAGGCACCTATGGTTGTCATCGTATATACCAAATATTACACATTAATGCTTAAAGTTCCATTAATTTCGCTCCACTGCTTACGAAACAGGATATCTACTGTTTTTTAATGCATTTCTCTGCTTGCCTCAAACAGAGACAACTCATCTGATCAAACCTAAAACTGTAGATTAGATGTGACCATGTACATACTATATCCAGGAAATTAATGAGTCAATAGAATAAAGTCTGATGAAGCAGAGTAATGCATGCAAGCACTTTCAGCGAGCCAGCTGTAACAAATGTTCAACTTTTTGATTCATTTCAAAAGCTGGAAATAGGATGAAGAGACAAATGTCTGCATTAAAAGACGAGCTGCTGTCATTGGCCTTGCTTACATTTTATGTCCCTTGGTTTCCATCTTGTTTACTGTATGTGTCTGTCTGTTCTTCACGTGCATGTAGGTGTCACAGCAAACTCTGTCCACCCCGGTATTGTCAAGACAGAAGTGATTAGACACTATCCCTTCTTGGTTCGTTTTATCTTCAACCTGGTTGGATATTTCTTCTTCAAGGTGAGTCAATCGTCCATTGTCCACTTTCCTCTTTCATTTTGTACCAAGTAATCCTTTGTTCCTTAGCTTTGACCTCAATTTCCAGCTAACCAAAGGCCGAAAAAGTCAAAGTTATTGTTTTATTTTGCTCTTACTGTATACAAATCCCATGAAAAGACCGAAACCACTGAACGACCCTTCGCTAAGCCCGTCCTCCCTGTTGCTGCTGTCACTCAAACAATTCCAATCCAGTATTTTCTTTCCAACCAAGTGTCACTTGCAACCATGGCTGTACACATAAAGACAGTTTTCACACCACTTTCACATCTGAGATCTATCAGGCTCATGTTTTTACAACTATTTTCAGATTCCAAACTTGAACTATATCCCCTATCCATCTGCCACACATCTGCCATGGGAGTCTTTAGAGTCAAAGACGCTTAACATCTGGTTATACTGGAGATTTTGCACATTGTTTCTGTTTGCACATTCTTTCCTACAGCGATATCCATCTGTACTGTAACATATCCTCTTTGCCATTTCATGCTCCATCTCAGTCTCCAGAGGAGGGTGCAGTCAGCTCAATCTACTGTGCAGTAGCAGAGGAAATGGAGGGAATAACTGGGAAGTATTGCGACAGCGACTGCCGCCTGGTCCTCCCCGCCCCTTTAGCTCGAGACTCTGCCCTCGCGGTCAAGGATTTTGAGATCAGCGAGAGGGTGACATCTAAGCTCTGAAAGGACTATTGAGATAACAGAGGTTTGATAACAGAAAAGGGGTCGAATTCCACCCTCCTGCTGCACTTCTTGAGTGAGCAGGTCCAACACAATGAGTCTTTAACTGTCAGGTGATGTTTATGCATAAAGTCTTGGATATTCGGAAGGCTTTAATCGACTGTGATATCAGCAGTCGTGTTGTCAAAGTAATTGTGGTTCATGAAAAATGGTATGTTTATCTTTTTATAGAAATAAAATGGCTTTTATTCAGGTATATGGATGAGTGAGCTTCCTGAGACATGCTGACACCCTGTGGCCAACTCTTGCTTCTTCAGAAATAACAACAGGTTCCAGTGTGTCACGTAATCACTTCCCTTTATTCACTTGATTTGCTTTAAACCCACAAGAAAACATTTGAGCAATCAGTGCTTTTTGAGGAATTTGTACAGCTTTGGTTCATCCACTGGTGTCTTCAACCTCGCTATTTGGCTGCAGAGACAGAGAGTTTGGTCACTGAGGAGGTATTTAATCGTAGGAATATCACTTGTAAGTTTGTGTCTAATAATCTTTGGATAACCAAAGAAGAAACGAGGCCATGTTTCTGGTCTACTAAGAAGCTGTTTCCACGTTTTCACCTTTCTGAAGTTCCTCCTCTATGTCATGGATGATGTCTTCGAGCACCGGAGACACACGATCGAGCTGTTTGGGTGAAAGACGGACGGCGACCTCCACTATTTTATCCTGGACGCACAAAGAAGAGTTCATGAATTGTGTTCAATGAATCTTTGCTGAAAACGGAAGCAATGTTGGGATTGCGGGTGTGTGCGCGTGTGCTCTCACAGGGTTTCCACCATGTTCCAACCGAGGAAGCTGTTGGACTGTAACCTCTTCGAACTGACCGTCCTCCGATCGGGGCTCCATGTCCTTTCTACCTTCTCTCTCCTGCAGCACAGAGACACATTTACACAACCATGGAAAATGATGTAATGCAGAAATGTTTTCTACAACGTCCATTTAACAACTTATGAGCATTTTTAACCACCTAATTTTCACACTTATCATTAAAGATGTGTTGTGTGCTACTGGGGCTACAAATACAAATAGTTGTATTCGTACTTTAACTGCAAGTTATTCTTTCTATTACAAATCATTATTCAGTGTCAAATAAAAATAATTACTAAATGAATGTCTTCTGTACTTCTAAAATCCAAAGATGCTTGCCAATGAATAGTTGGCCTCGTCCAACCAACACACCAAAAGATTTTCAATTTATTGCAACAAACGTAGTAAGACTTCATAACAGAGGAGCTTGAAATAAAAAGAGGTTGGCATCTCTGCTTAGTTGAATTGTTTTAACGCCACTATTACATTTTTGATCAGTTCTTTTCCTGCTCAGTGTCCAATCAACCAACCCAAGCGGTTTACCTTCATCAGCATCATCTCCTTTGGACTGAAGAAGGTGATGTGTCCCTCTGTCCTCTCAGCCAGCAGCCCCACCAGGCACGCCAACACCAAGCACCCAACCACGGCTCTGCGCATGCTCATTCTGCTCGGTCCTGCACACGTACACACACATGCACATTTAGACAGGCTGTACGCAGGCATACGTTCACAATACAGTCAGTGTTTACGGGTTGAGTGGCATTGAGGCCACGCCAACAGTCAAAATAGTGTTCATTTTCATTGCATGCATGTGCGCGTGTGCCTGAAACCACAGCTGAGTGTAGAGTAAGAAGGACACAGAAGATCCCATTTTATTATGCAATGGAGACGTTGGCAAATGCATTGTAGATAGTGAGCAAGACAGACGGGAGGAGTGGGGGAGGAGCATGGAAGTAACAAAACAACAAACCGCTCCGCTGACAGACATGATAAGAGGCCGGAGTGGACCAATTGTACTTACAACAGCGAGACAGCTCTCAAATGTGAGACAATGAAGGCAGCAAAGACAAGAGTATCAGAGAGCAGAGGAGGGTGGGCGGGTCAGAAGGAGAGACAGGCAGAACAAGCCGTTTGTTACTCACCTGCTTGTGTGAGCTTCGGTCAGTTGTTTAAAGGGAGTGTGCTTTAAGATGAGCACAGCTTCTGGTCTGAGCGTCAGCCTGTCCTCGTTCGCCTTTATATCGAGCCCTCTGCTGATCCCTCAGCTTTTTACCGTCCTCCCTCACATCCGCTCCTCAACAGGCTCCTTCAGGCACCGCCGTCCATGCGCCTGGAAACGCACGTATTACTCAGGAATCTGGCTTATTTTTATTAGTGCAGTAGGCTGTCCATGCTTTAGTTATGAAAGACCGAAATGATTGATGGGGAAACCTCCGGTTAGGTGTCTATTATGTATGTAAAAGTTTCAAAGCATCAAAACATTCTTAAAGGATCTAAAAGTAAGAGTACTTACCGTACTATGCAAAAATGCCCCGCTTCCAAAAATTCCATCATATCATTGAATTATAGTTATTAATGCATTAACGTGTTCATCAATGTAACAAAGACACTGGTAAAAGTACAGCTCATTTCAACATCCTTATGTAAAGTTGTTATGCAAGGCAGCTTGCAAATTTCCCAGGATTTCAATAATTGTCCTTGATCTATAACATTGCATCCTAATGTATTTGTTGAATGTATATTGTATTATTAATCAGAACATGCAAAGTAACTGTAACTAAAGTTAGATTTTATTTAAGTACAATTTTTGTATTTTGTATTTTACTCAGTTACCTTCCAACCCCCTGTGGTATATTATCTGCCTAATGTCTGATGTGAATTATTTGTAGAACTGACTGAACAAAGAAAGTCTAATTTACATACAATATCACACAAGACAGCGTCTTACATATTTTCAGTAATTTAACCATCCAACAAACTGAGGAAGACAATAAAACTCAAAGTGTAACAGGCTGCTGCTAACTGAGAGGCAGAATTCTAATGTATGTGACTTTCATTTGCGTCACCAAGTTAAATACTAAAAACGTGTTGTAAAGAATTTTATTTGGATTAATACTTATCTTTAATTATTTGTGTGTGTTTTTGTCTGTAGCGGCCAATAGGAGATCTCTCTAAAGAGGTCTGTCATAAATTCACTGCTTTTAAGCAATATCCAACACAATTTACGACCTTCCAGGAATTTATACCTTATAACAGACCCAAACGCGTCCGCTTCTTGGAAACCTCATGACCCTAAAAAAACTAATGCTTCCACCCACACATGACACTTATCTGATTTCCTACATGATGGAGAAATGTTATTGCAGGCTGGGTTTACTTTGTCGTCAGAATACTCAGCAGGTGTGGAAAATTGAAAGTATTGCCACCGTTGTTTCTGTTTTATTGCAGTTCAATGACACATGTACAGCTTTGTATCTCTTAGCACTTATTGTACCACCAAAATGAACCACAGGGTCTCTTTACATTTTTGGATCACCTAACAATAGGCTCTTTATAATGTGTTCTTATGTTGGTGGAATTCTCTCCAACTTTCTGTAGAGTTAAAAAGTAAGTATTGCATTTTCAAACCGTATACATACTGCTTTTGATCGTTTTGAAGTTCCCTTCCAAAGTATAAATGTCTGGAAACATTTTTTATTTTCCATGAAAATAATCTGAACCATTCTTAATATTCGATTAAATGCTTATTTTTTTAATGAAAGCACCCCAAAATCGGTGGTTCTGCTCTAAAATTGTGAATACTACCTTGTATAATTCCCCTGCAATCTTTGGGTTTTGTCCTGGAAAATAAAGAAAACAATAATCGGATATAATTTTGCATTAAATGACATATTCTCTCCTGATCATTATTTATAAATTAAAGTCCTATACAATTAAAAGTATTACCTAACGTTTCTAAGGGATGACATTTGGATGTCACGGTCTCCCTCACTTGTTGATGTTGTTAAGGATTAAGAGTAAGTATCTATGTGGCTTTGCTGGCCTTTGAATATTTACAGCAGAAATTTGGTGGAAACAATGGGCCACAGACAATGGGGGGATGGAAGGAGGCAAACGTTTGGGGACTGTGACGTTTCGTTGGGGCGGTCTCTCGGTCAGATCTCGCGATGTTACGCCCGATAAAGACACGTGACTCCCTGCAAGAGCACGTACCACCAGTCTTTCTCTCGTGGTGTCGGAGCTGAGCAGACGTGTTCTGCCGCGGAGATTCGCTAATCATGGTAAGACAAGTTGTGTATGGTGCTTCAGTATTAACAGTTTGGTATTTTATATAAACAGTGGAATGCTCCTCAGATATACCGGTGCCTTAAGCTTATAGTTAACCTTTAGTATTATAACTGCGATCTCGCTGTAGGCCTTTCAACGTGGCTCCGTTAGCCGCATGGGTGGCTAACATTAGCCGGAAATTTCCTTTAATCTACTGACTCTACCTCCCACGGAAATGATTAGCTTTACCAGTAACTATCATACGTGTGGCTGAGGATCTTTACTTTTAAAAGCTCATACACATGCTTGTTAGTGATTTATAACGTTAGCTGGGCTTCATGTCGCTAATTACTGCTACGCACGAGCCCGGGACACGTGGGCCATGACGACACGTGGTTTCTGAAAATTGGCCTAACATGGAAATTAAACTAACTTTTAACCAAGACAAAACAGTAACCAACCGTTACGTAATATTATAGAAATAGCATAATATGGTTTAACTGGCGCCAACCGGATCCTTTGTCAAGTTAGTCGCACGCGCGGATGACTTGCAGTTAGCACGAGCACGCACAGCCGCATTCTGTCGCATTTTACCGTATCGTAATTGTTCGGGCCTCGTCCTAATCCAATGGTCACCCTCCTGCAGGTGCTGCTCCACGTGCTGTTTGAGCACGCGGCGGGCTACGCGCTGTTCGTCGTCAAAGAGGTGGAGGAGATCGGCATGCTGCTGCCCCAGGTGAGTCAACACCCGGCCTCGCTTCTTTGCGGCTGTGATCTATTCGCAGGAGGAGCCCGATGTAACTATTACTAACTGTTTCAGGTGGAAGAGTGCGTGCTGAGCATCGGGAAGTTTAACAGCATGGTGAGCCTCGCGGCTTTCTTCCCCTTCAAGTCGGCCCAGGGGGCTCTGGAGAACATGAACGCCATTTCTGAAGGCAAGGCGGGGTTTTTCTACTTTGAGGGTTTTGGGGATCCTCAGTTGTAATGATGTTCAATTCAATCTGTCAATCCACTGAGTTACGGTGCTGACAACCCAAATGTAAACCTGAACAACTGAGGCCTGTGGAAGTGCAACTGTTTAAGAATGCAGATAACATGTAGTTTAGGGAAACTTGACTGTTATGCGTGATGGATGGACCATAGCTAAATTCATTTCGCTTGAAATATGTGTGTGGAGATATATATATATACACAGTATATAATTTATTTAAAAAAAAAAATTGTACTGACTTGACTACATGAGAGGATAAGCTTAGACCAGGTCTCATTTTTTTCCCCCTTCAGATAATCAATAATCTCTTTACTTGCAGGTGTTGTTCATGCGGACCTGAAGTTGTTCTTGGAGACTAATCTACCCCTCTCCCGCAAGAAGAAATTAATGTTGGGGGTTTCGGATGCCAAGATTGGAGCAGCTTTACAAGAAGAATTTACAGTTTCTATCCAGACCGGAGGGGTGGTGGCAGAGATATGCAGGGGTGAGGGCACCGTCTTGTTTACTTCTTGAATGTTTTTCCCCAGAGGACATGACCCTACAATTGTTACTGTAATATTTATAAGTGGCGTGGCCTGTTATGATGTTACTTTTGACCCTGAGATCATGAAGGTTCATACTGAAAATCTGAACGGCCTCTGCTCCATGCTGTTTGACCACTGTTAATTTAACTTCATTTAAACGGTTCTGTTGTCTCTTCAGGTTTGCGTCTGCACTTCCACTCCCTGGTGAAGGGTCTGACTGGCCTGGCAGCCTCCAAGGCACAGCTGGGTTTAGGACACAGCTACTCAAGAGCTAAAGTAAAGTTCAACGTCAACCGGGTCGACAACATGATCATACAGTCCATTGCTCTGTTGGATCAGCTGGACAAAGACATTAACACTTTCTCAATGCGTGTCCGGTAAGTTCGGCCATTTCTGAAGGCATTACCTCAGTCTGGTCACTTGGTCATCAGACAAATGTGATTTATATTTGTGTCTTCAGTTGTAATGATGTTCAATTCAATCTGTCAATCCACTGAGTTACGGTGCTGACAACCCAAATGTAAACCTGAACAACTGAGGAACATTAATAATTAGTGACATTAATGAAATCGTGCTTTAACGCTACTGCACATTGGCTAAATGTGTCAAATCCTAAACTAGTGATACAACTCTAACGGTGCCTGTCTTGTGTTGCAGTGAATGGTATGGCTACCACTTCCCAGAGCTGATCAAGATCGTGCCAGACAACTTTATGTACTGCCGCATGGCTCAGCTGATCGGAAACAGGAAGGAGTTGTCAGAAGAGAGTTTGCCGAGTCTGGAGGAGATTGTAATGGACGCACCCAAAGCTCAAGCGATTCTTGAAGCATCCCGGTCCTCTATGGGTCAGCAAATTAACTTTTTCTTTGTGCAGCACACCTACTCATTACTACCTACTCAGGCACAGTAACCTTTTTAAAAATGCCACTATGCCCCTTATTTGCCCACTTTGGACTAACATGTGTCCTTGGTGACCAACACAGGGGGGCAAAGTATCTCACTCTCATAAACCTGTAGTAAAGGCACCAATCTTTGCTGCGGATCCTGTCGGGAGAAACAACCTATTTCACTAATCTAAAATGTAATGGTTGGTAGCTACACCCAATGCAAAGGGTGAGTTTGATTTCAATGCCTTATGATCTCGTCTCCAGGTATGGACATCTCTCCCATTGACCTGATCAACATAGAGAGATTCTCCGCTCGTGTTGTGTCTCTGGCCAGCTATCGGCTGGAACTGCAGGAGTACCTGCGTTCCAAGATGAGCCAAGTGGCTCCAAATCTAGCGGCCTTAATTGGAGAAGTGGTAAGTTGCAGCATAGTGTTTTTATATACATTGCTCTTGGACCGATGATGTCTAAACCATCTGTCAATCCCCTGAATTAAAGTGTTGATATATCCGGTTCTGATGGTCCACAAATATTCCATTCTTCCAAACTTTGCTGTCAGTGGGACTGACTTTTTGTTTTGTTTAGGTGGGAGCCCGTCTGATCTCGCATGCTGGCAGTTTAACCAACCTGGCCAAGTACCCGGCCTCCACGGTCCAGATCCTGGGAGCAGAAAAGGCCCTGTTCAGGTACTGGGGCACCCCCTCCCTGCTGGGGACAGGGGTGGCTGCAGTGATGGCAGGGCTGGGCAGGAGCAGAGCTGGGTGACCGAGGACAAATTTAGTGTCTCTTACGGAGTGATCCCACTCGCCTCATGCACCCCACAGTCTGAGCGGCCACCCACAGCACTGAGGTAGAAACTGAACTAGTGGTGGTGCAGATGACATTTCGCTCGAGGATTGGATTTGTGCCCTTTCTGTAACACTGTCGATCCTGAGTCTAAATTATGCTGTATTTTCCAAACAGAGCCCTAAAGACTAAAGGAAACACCCCCAAGTACGGTCTTATCTTCCACTCAACCTTCATTGGCCGCGCTGCTGCCAAGAATAAAGGACGCATCTCCAGATACCTGGCAAACAAGTGCACGATCGCCTCGCGCATTGACTGTTTCTCTGGTGAGTGACAACTCATTGGGATATTTTCCCTCATTCCTGAACACGCACAGTGGCATATTGGCAATGATGCTAAACATTTTTCGTCAACAGTATTCATCCTTCGGGTTGGTGGTGATAAGCTTATTCCTGAGCACAGCCACATAACCATTTCAACCTCAGCCGTCCACAGAAGGCTGTTATTTAAATTACTTTTAAATGTGTTGTCGCAGATGTGCCTACAAGTGTGTACGGTGACAAGCTGCGTGGACAGGTGGAGGAGCGCCTGTCTTTCTATGAAACCGGTGACGTGCCACGGAAGAATGTGGATGTCATGAAGGAGGCTGTCAAAGAGGTGAATAAAGCAGGAGGTGGATCTTCTGCTCTAGCGTGCCTTTGGTGTCCGATGCTGTGAATGATGATATTCCTTTTCCTGACTTTATTGTGGGGGTACAAACTGATTTAATGAGGCTGATGCAGCATTGATAACCTTGAAAAATAGTTTCTCATGGTTTGCTCTTTTTAACCTTTCTCCCTCATTTTAGGCTTCTGATGTCGCAACAGAGATCAAGCGGAAAATGGAGAAGAAGGAAAAGAAACGCCAGAAGCGTGCAAAGAAACTGCAGGATCAGAACGGTGGTGCCGACAGTGATGTTGAGGTAAGCGTGAATTGTATTGTCTGTTGACGCATGATTGATTTGAGATTGGACCCACTCTCATGGTCCCTGTCTCAGTGTACCCATGCAATATCAGCTTGAGTCAGACCATTGGCTGGTCCTAGACAGTGGACTTGATCACTGAAGTGAGTCAGACATTCTAGTCACTTAAATGCTAAATTTACAGATAACTTAGTAGTGTGACAATATTACAATATTTATGGTTTACCCTTTTCTCTTAGGAGACGAATGGAGTAGATGAAACTCCGCGAAAGAAGAAAAAGAAACTGAAAACCGAAGCTGTCCCAGCGGAGGAATCTGCTGCCACGGGTAACGGCACAGAGGAAGCGGAAACTCCTGCAAAGAAGAAAAAGAAACGAAAGAGTGAGGCTGTGGATTCAGAGCCTGCGGAAGAGGTTCCAGAAACGCCAGTGTCTGACAAGAAGAAAAAGAAGAAATGAGCACCACAGATCAAGGACTGAATCTTTATATTGGTGTACAGTTATTTTTTTATGCTTAGTTCGATGGGTATGTAAGCAGTAGTTTTTGCAACCTCAATGCTTTTTCTGTGCCTTGACGTCTGTGACATCAACTTGTATTCTTGTAAATATCTTGTCCATTAAACTTTGTCACATGAATGAGTTTGTTTTATTAATGCATCATATGGTTTCCAGATTATAATGAGCTAGTAAGATGCCACTTATCTAAATACCCATTTTATGACAAGTCGTCACTTGATGCTTTTGTAGCATATATTAACCATTTTAGCCATAAAGGTTTGGTACTGGACGAGAGGATGTTCAGATGACGTGGTCCACGAATTGGGTCTTTCACGGTTCTGTCAACCAGCATCCTGGACTCAATTCACTCACACTTCATGTAGAAAATTATTAGTGATCAGAAAAAAGTACTAAATTAGTGTGTACACACATTACAGAAGCATTCCATCGTCAAATAGGGAAGCTGTTTTGTAGAGTGGACAACTTACCGTGCAAAGCATTTAGCTGCAGATTAAAATTAAAGCCAGTCTTCACTCCTTTTGAAATTGAAGCTTAGCACGTAATGCCTTGTAAGATAATTGCATTCCTACGACTCAAAGAATACTGACCATTTAATCCTATAAATGGTAAAGTTCCTGCTGTGTCATAAATCATGGTTTTAGTTGCTACTGAACCACTGTCACAATTGCACTGCCGTTGTCGACCAGTGGGTGTAAGACTGGTTCATAATTGATGCGTATGAAACTTCATTGGTCTGTAACCAGTAAAACAATGTTTAAGTATTGATTCCAGATCCATAAAATGTCAAGAACTTTTAATTTGGACAACAAGGATTAAACCAATGTTAAACTTACATCAAATCAAAGGCCTGGCTGGTGAAACCAGCCAACTAGCAAGTTGAGGAATGAGACGCAGGGTCAAAATAAAAATCAAGCTATGAACTCAAGTCACCCTCAATAGGGATTCACAGATGCGGGAGACAAAGGTTACCAAAACATATCTTCTAAAACATAAAAGGCCTTTGCCGAGACAATGATGTGTAGATTCTATGTACATCATTTTCAGTTCATGTATGCATACAAAAAAAAATCCACATCACAAGATGCTTGTGTTCAAGTATATTCATTTTTTTTTTTTAAATAAAAATGTCCTTCAAAATGAAAACAAATTGCCGAAAAACCACATTTGATGTCCTACCAATACATATATACTGTATAAATACATACATAAATATATTTTACATACAACAGCCATAAATTTGAAAAGGGGATATACAGAGTAAACTGGGAGGCGGGGGGGGTAGTGTGTGTGTGTGTGTGTTTTAGCTTGTGTTGTAAAATGGTTTGTCCCTCTATTTACTCAGTCAGATAGCAGTTGTGGTGCTGTGTCGATGCACGGGCACACGTCCGAGATGCAGCCATCTCAGTTGGCCCAGTAGGGGGAGCTGCCGTAGCTCGACTTGTTGACTTGGCTCTTCTGCTGCAGGCTGCTGGACTGGCCGCGCTGGCTCGGACCACCCTGGACAAGCAAGACATCCGTTGCGTAAGCAACGGAGAAACGGCAAAACCAAACAAAAACTGTGCAAACAACAACAACAACAACAACAAAATGGCTGCGGGTGTTACCTGTCCATCCTGAGCTAGATGGTGGTGCAACAGCTGCGAGTGTGGTTGCTGGTGAGGCAGGATGTGGAGGAAGGGGGGCGGCGCATAGCCCCCAGGTGCTGCTCCGGGGTTTAGAGGCCCCGGACCCCCCAGTGCTGATGGCAGACTGAAGGGAGGAGGCGTCCCCGCATGAAAACCCTTATCAAAAGACTGCACACGGAGGATAAGGGACAAATTAAACTGAGTATAAACACTCATTGTACAGCGAGACGATGGTGGCTGGCTGGGGGAGTTCGGGCTCACCTGGGTCTTATTGTAAACACTTCCACTGATGTCTGGCACACCGGAGTTACTGGAAGTCACAGAGACGCCTGGCAGAAAAACATTTACACATTTAAAATTGCAAACGACCTGCCAAAAAAAACCCAACATATTTGCAAATGCTGCTGTTGTTTTTTTCTCCTTACCTTTCCCGGGCCCAGAAACAGAAGATTTGGCTTGTGCCTGTGAGGAGGAGTTGTATCCTTTACTGTAGTCCACTCCTGCTGGCCCCGCGGTCAGCTCCTCATATCCTGCGAGGACACAAAGTTTAGCGTTCAGACGACACACAAAACCCGACACACACAACGCAATGATGCCGAAAACACTTTGGGAACGATGGTTTCGGAGTCGGACCTGAACTGAAGGCGTGCTGGCCGTAGCCACTGGGCTGCTGCTGTGTCTGCTGCTGGAAGGGGCTCGCCGAGGGGTTCCCCAGACCCAGGCCCATGCTGTGCTGCTTGGCCGAGGCCGGTCCCGGGCCCCCGGGGGGAACGAACATGGTGTGGCCGTACTGGAAGGCAGCAGCACTGGGTACGGCACCAGGCACCCCAGGGTAGTAAGGCAGGCCCGTGTAGCTGTATCCTGGAGGCAGAAAGGCCTGCTGATTGCTGTGGTGTTGCGGCTGGCCCTGGGGCTGTGGCTGGGCCTGGGGAGGCTGCGGCTGGGCCTGGTTCTGGCCCTGGCTCTGGCCCTGGGCAGCCTGCACAGCCGCCAGGCTCGTTGGGGGCGCCGGCGAGGTGGAGTCATTTCTGCCAAACTTTGTGACTTCACCTGACAGACGGTGGAGACGTCAGTTAAAAAACAAACTCTGGATTTTAGGAGTTTGGAAGAGGCCGGCAAAGGTTAACGGTGCTTTACCGGTGTAGGGGTTGTTGGCTAGGCTCCCGTCTCTGCCAGAGAGTGTCGCTGTGGGGCCAGGGAATGTGATTCCGTAGTAATCCTGCAAAGAGGGCTGAAGGGACAGGAGAGGATGAGGAGAAGAGCCACAACACCCACCCACGACTAAACATACGCCGCCGAGGCTCACCCACCATTGGCAGTCTGGACTGTAGCATGTGGAGGTCTTCGTAACCGTAGATCTGCTGTTAAACACAAAGGGCGGATGTCATCAACTACGAAATGTGTTTGTGTTGATTGATTTAAAAAGAAAATCCATCACCCTTCAATCGTTCTAAAACCTGAGGCTCTACTTACTGGGTATGCTGGCAGCAGCCCCCCCGGGCCCATGATATACTGGTTGGGCAGCAGAGGAGGCACTCCCTGGGATAAATTAGGAGGAGCTTTACCTGTCAAAACAATGGCACAAACCGTTATTTACAGACAAGCGGCAAGTAGAAATATTTGAGCGGAACCCTCCCGATGCACGAGTTCACGTGCTCACCAGTGGCAGAGGAGAGCAGGGTGGTGGTCCTCGGTGCAGAGAGGTTGGACGTGGCGGCAGCTCCATTGGAGCCATGTCCCAGCGCCGAGCTGGCGGCAATGGCAGCAGAGTGAAGCACACTGGCGCCGACGATGCCTCCGCCTGTGCCGCTCAAGCTGTTGCCCATGTTGGGCATGTTGGCCAGGTGGCTGATGCCGCTGCTACTGTGGCTGCTGTTGTGGGTCAAGTGGAGTGCCGCGTGCTGCGATGACATGTAGGGACCCGTGGAAGAGGCGTGGGAGCTGCTGCTGTCCACACTGGTGTACTGCGCAAAGGGAGGAAGCGACATCGGTTCACCGGGTCGAAATAAGATTTTAGATTCCGTTTTACAAAGCGCGTGCCGTCCCAAAAGCGCACTTTGGCTGTGGCTTGAGTGGCAAGCAAAGTGGTCGCGTGCACTGGAATCCAGACAATGCCAGAGCCACGCAGCATCAGCTGTCTGGTTCCGTATCATCACAGACGATGAGTCATCAAACTACAGGATTTTCAAAATCACCAATTGGGGAAGACGAGACAATGTACTTACAGCGAGAGAGTTGGAGCCCAGAGCTGACAACGAGGAATGATTGCTGACATGACTGCAGAGAGGAAAGCAAGAGACAATTTTAAAAAAACATCCAGAAAGTATCTTTGTGTGATCATGAATACGTTTGCTTTGTGGTCACACAAACCCGCGAGTGGCAGCAGGAACCTCTTATACTGCACTCTTTAGAGCAGTGGTTCCCAAACTGGGGGGGCATTGTGAAACTGCACGACCGACACAAATACATTTTAAAAAAAGAGAGCGAGAGAGAGAGGACGGTGTCCCTTCAATGTTCCTGTATCATCAAAGGGGGGCTCGACAGAAAAGGTTTAGGAACTACTGCCAGAAAACTAGAAAATTCAACTTCGCAATGAATTCCAAAGCTCCTTTTTTAGCCCGGTGAAAAGGGAACACGTCATTCTGCCGTGTGAGGGTTTCCCCACCTGTTGAGAGAGTTGAGTTGGCTGGCTGAGGGCAGGTCCTGGGCCAGGCTGGAGAGCGTGCCGGAGCTGTGTGCAGGCAGGGATTGTAAGTGGGAAGAGGGTGCCGAGGCGCCATTGCTGCTGATGTTCAAAGACGGCGAATCCGGCTTCGGGGTAGAGGACGCTGATGAGGCTGAGAGCAGCAGGAGAGAAGCGCGCGTCATTTGTAATGGACCCAAAGTAGCATTGCTAAAGAGCGATGGCACGTGCTCGACATTTACAGTAGAAAGTCAGCAGCGCACAAATACGTCAGTAGTAGGGAACTTACTGTCTAGAGCAGCAGAGGTCCTTACACCATTCAGACCATTCTGGTGGTATAAAAACGCAGCTCAGTGTCAGCGTGTAACCAACAACAGATCACAAGACCACTAGCATATCTACGTAGCAAACTGTGCAAACATACACAGTACGAACAAAACGTCTTTCAATCAAGTACAGGCGTGATCCAATATGCTAAAGGAACCTTTCAAACAGTCAGTTTTCTCGACATGGGGCTGACTGCCGTGGTCATTTGTGAGTACTGCGCTATTTATACAAGATTCAGATATGCGAAACGTTTTCATTTGGATGAATTCTCGTCTCCGACACCCACAAAGCTGGATTAACGTGGCCGTTTCCCAACTCACCATGACTGGTCCTGCGGCCTCTTTACTCTGGGAAAAGGCCAGTCGTGTGTGAGGGGGCATGGTCCCATCGTAACTTCCCCCCACTGTGTTGTAGTGAGAGGAGGA